ATGGATTCAAACAAGTTTTCGTACAACACACAGCAGTAATCTTCGTTGTACTAAAGGACACAAAAAATCGAACTATTATAGAAAATCTATAAAATGTGTATATGCCACAGATGCCAACTCAGGAGCCTCATTGGCATAAGGCTCCCGAACAGGATATCGAACATCGACCTGCACCAGCGCTGTCGGGAAGAGCCACTGTCAACCACCATTGGAAAGACAGGTATGCAGATGCTGAGGCATGCCATGCGACTGTCGCCGGACACCGCAGCCGGTCACCCCAGCGCAGCAAGCCATGAGTGGGTACTTCACTCCACAGCAGAGTGGGCACAAGGGACGGGATATGGGAGTTCTGACTGTAGTGCAGGATAAGATGCAGTATTGCTGTTGCCAGGGTCTTGAAACAGAATGATAATCAATTGTGCACATTCGATTTTATTCTTCCGATCGAAGTGATCTGGTCGGGGGGATCGGGATCAAGTTTCCACAGTTGAAAGCAGCCTAGGCCCAAGGTGGATGTGTGAGGCCTGAACCATACTAAACCATTTCGTTTTCAAAGGATCAGTCGGAAGTGAACTGCCTCAAACAAAGGAAGAATGCCATAAAGACCGCCAGACCCACCAGAACTGTAAACCCTGACCTTGCTTGTCATGAGCAATGCCCTAGCCATCCGAACTATGGGACCAGGCTGGACCTAGACGGCTCTGACCAGTTTTTTCCTCAAAAGGCAGATCAAAACACGTGTCACACATACTGTTGGCACTTGAGTCTTTCTCAACCATCCCCCCCCCCCTCCCCTCCGCACCTCCCACCTCTACCCCCAGGGGACCAATATTTCGGAGAAAAAAAGAACGGGTGTTATGTGCAGTTTGCAACTAAATCCAATGTTATGCAGCATTTTTGAATTGGTTCTACTAGTACTGTAAAGTCTGGAAACGAACACTTCGCAGCAAACGCCAATTTCCCAGCAAACGCCAACTTCGCAGCAAACACCCACTTCGCAGCAAACGCCAACTTCGCAGCAAACGCCCACTTCGCAGCAAATGCCAATTTCCCAGCAAACGCCCACTTCGCAGCAAACGCCCACTTCGCAGCAAACGCCCACTTTACAGCAAACGCCAACTTCGAAGCAAACGCCAACTTCGCAGCAAACGCCCACTTTGCAGCAAACGCCCACTTCGCAGCAAACGCCCACTTCGCAGCAAATGCCCACTTCGTAGCAAACACCCACCACAGCCGGTCCATATATTTTTTTGTCTATTTCAGGCTAATACAGTTGTACTAAACCGTCATAAATGTTGAATGCGTACGAAAACAATTGTTATACCTACAAACTGCCTATGTCGAACCATGAGGCGCTGCTCACCCCAACAAGGGTTGGTCAGCAATATCAGAGATAGAGAAAGGGGGAAGCTTCGCGAAAACTAGTTGTACAAAACCAGACGCCCCTATCTAACAGCACTCCTCATACATGACAGAATCACCCACTGTGTTTTTTTGCAAAGTTGATGTGCAAAGTCATATAACTGGCATTGATTTTGACAAACGCGAATCAGTATTGTAAGGGTGTCGATTTCTCTCCGATTTTCATCCTCTTTAGATTGCAACAGACAAGCGAGTGATCAAATTTCGAATATATTAGCCGATGGTATGGTTCAGTGCAACAGTGGATATGAGTATCTAGGTAATCAACCAGTGTGCAACGGCAGTAATCAGGTTTCAACATGCACACGTAAGTCATTTGTCTAAGTTTCTTCAAGCCGCGAAAGACGAGCAGCGGAGCCGCAGTGGAACCCGGCCCTGATGAAAACAGAAATGCGCAGCAGCTTTTATGCAACAGGCCCCGTACCCTAACGTACGGGATACACTAATTTAGGCTATAGTAAAGGGTCAGGTAAAGTTCCATACTAGCCAGGCAAGGATACTACACAAACCTAGCCAGATGAAACAAAACATATTCAAGTGCACAGAAACCTCTAGATCACATACATGCATTCGAATTAGCAGGGGAGGAGTACTGGTCCACAGTGGCGACTTGCAGACTGCCCGAGCGGCATGTTTGAACAGCCTATGTAGACGTTGTTCCTGAGCAACTCACAAATACGGGTAGTAATTAATAGAAACATACTAAAATACTGGCAAAATGATAGATCTGAAGTAGGTTAGTGGGCATGGATATGGCAGCGAGGAAGTATGTCGTAGCAGGACAGCAATTTTGCAGGCAACGGGGACAAGCAACATGGTCCACCATTGTGGTCCAACTCCTGTCCGGGTCAAAATGCAGGCCGAGGTGTTTTATAGATGTGACTACTGGTAAGACTTGTGAATTTCATATAACATTGATGTCGAGGGTAGTCGCTCTACCTTGTGGTATGGCAAGTATCTTAGTCTTGGTCTCGTTGAGGATCAGTTCACGTTTCTTCTACCAAGTGGCCAGGTACTGAACTGGAGGGAGTGAGGCGCTGGGAGATAACTTGTGGCTGTGGACTGCTCGCATGCAGCGAGATGTCTTCAGCAAACTGAACAGTGGTGACGTCCTGAGGGGCAGGGTTGAGGGCAATAGCATTTTTGTATCATGGTTCTTCAGTAGCAATTGGCCTGGAAATCTCTGATTAGCTCAAAAGCAGAACCACATTGTCGAATTGCTAGGTTGCAACGGTTTCGAAAATGAAACCATGGTTTGCGAGCACAGTAATTCTTTATGAAGGTCCCCTTCTTGTTTTTTCCTGATGTCAGTGAATATCTGGTGTGAATATCTGATGTGTTTTTCTGTTGGGGATTTCTGGTGTGCGTTTTGTATTATTTACAGCTGTCAAATGTGCCGTACCTAATATTACAGATGGGCAGCAAACTGCATCACAGATATCGTTCCAGGAAACAGTAACATACTCATGCAAAGCTCATCATGCGCTAGTTGGAGAAGCCCAACCGACATGCCAGGCTGATCGCTCATTGACATCAACACCCACCTGCAAAGGTAAGCATCTCTGTCTGGCTTTTAACTGCCTGTGTGAGGTTCAGACCATCTCCCCTGACACGTTTCTGTATATGCAACTTGCAACACCTGCGATGAGCCACGACTGCGACACACGGGTTAATATGTTGTTGCTTGTAGCGTCATCACCATGCACTACTAATTGCTTTTGAACCTAGAGTCGAATCTGTACTACATTAATGGACATCGCTAAAGCTGAAATTACTTGAATTGAAGAACTAGGGGTTCTAGAGGCTAAGACACAAAGAGGTAGGGATAATCAACTTGATAGAGTGTCAGATGGTGCTCTTGAATTCACCCTTTTTTGATATACATCTAACTTCAGCCGGCAGCTTATTCCAGAGAATGGAACCTTGGGAACGGATGAAAGACCGTCCCGCAGGACCAGGAAGGAAGGTAACATGTAGGAGCCATATCACCTGTACGCGAGTGGCCCTTCGGTCATGATCTTCTTGAGAAGGTGCGGTTGGGGTGAAAAAAGACGAAAACAAGTGACTTGACAGAGAGCGCAGGCAACCGGATAAAAACAGGAGGAGCTTTCGCTGACACAATCTCTCAATGGTGAGAGTCTCTCTCGTAGCGGCTGAGTCACGATCTGGTTCTGCAGTCGTAGGATTGCTCGAACCCAGGACTTCGGCGATCTTTAGAGCCGAGCGAGACCAGCGGCAGACAGCGAGGGAAAGAAGGCATTTGCGGCGTAGCACAGCTTGGCTTGTATCATGGCGACACACCATACCCGGCGGGCAGTGATGCTAAGTTCATCCCCATGTCGCCATAGGCAACTTACGGCCTTCCTTGTCTGGCTAGCAAGGTGTTGGTATTTGAGACCGCCAGCTCAGGTCGTCAACGAAAATAACACCAAGGTATTTTGCGGATGACATTATGGCAGGCTCATCTCCATTGCAGCGGATGCGATCGACTGAATTTTGTTGCCCTTGAGGCTTCGAAAACATTACTTGGGTCGTCTTCCCCCCCCAAATGTCTAGTCGAGATTTTGCAAGGTCACGTTGCATACCACAACAAAGCATTTATATATTTTTATTTGAATGCACAAGTACACACGGGCTGCAAGCCCAATAACATGGAAGCAAATGTGATAATGGCGTTATTTTAGAACATTTTGGACTGCGTACCTCCGCTAGGCTCAAAAGCAGAATCTCTTTGTCGATTTGACAGGTAACAATGATTTCGTACAGGAAACCAGTGTTTTGGGCTGAGGTTCACTTATTGTTATTCCCCATGTCAGTGAATTTCTGGTGTGTTTCTATTATATACAGCTGTCAATTGTACTGTACCTAATATCACAAATGGGCAGCAAGCTGTATCGGAAATATCTTTCCAGCAAACAGCCAACTATTCATGCAGTGCTCATCATGTGTTAGTTGGAGATGCACAGCCAACATGCCAGGCTAATCGCTCCTTGACTTCAACACCCACATGCAAAGGTGAGCAACGTGTACATTGCTGAAGTTGAAATTTCTCCACCTTATGCTACAGGAACCTTGAGACTGCTATTGAAGCTCGCAACAGCCATTTTCTCGTCACAGCTGTTTCAAGTCACGTGTTGGGTCGCAAAGATTGGTATTGTGAGTAGGCCTTTCGTAAGTTGAGATATCGGACAAATAAGTGAGGTTCTGCTCCAGGTTACGGGGTTGTGACACGAAGAATCTCCGGACCTCTCTTCGCGTTTCCGTAACGCAAAGAACATCTGCTCTGCTCTACGTCACATAGGGACAGCACGTGGAATGTGTACTGGTAATTTCTCCTTCCATATTTGGTATTTGATCGATGGCCAGCAGGTCTCTATGGTTTTCTTTGCATGTGCCACAATGTAGAGAACAGCATCTACAAAAGTAGAAATCTGGACTCAAAACACGCCAAGATGTGGACTCTAGCCCAGACTCCTTTAAATGTGAACCATACAGCTTGCTTAAGAGCGCCTAGGTCTAATGCTTTATGACCCTGGAGCCTCTCTGTTTTAATCTTTCATTAACTGTTTTCTAGATGTGACTTGCCAGGTTCCAACTATCAGCAACGGGACGTCTAGCCAAGCAGGGATGATCAGATATCAAGAATCTGTAACCTACACCTGCAATACTGGCTACACACTGAGTGGAGTGAACACATCAACATGTGCAGCTAACGGTACTATACTAACACCCAGTTGTCCAGGTGAGCAAAACGGTATCAATGTATCCTTGCCAAAATGTTGTGTTCACTACTAACACCTCAAAAGTTTCAGGATCGCACAGACGCCAAAAGACAAAAGGTCACGTAATTCTTTACGGACTATAATGAATGAACAGTAGAATACATTGAGAAGAAGAGACTGGAAAAATACGAACTACATCGGAAAGAGAACTCTAGAACACTAAAGAAAAACAAACCACGGCATCAAGGAAAAGAACAACGCATGAGGGGTAAAGCGCTGGCCAGCCACAACGTGCGTCCAACTTTGGCATGAGCGTACAGAAGAGCGTACAGCGCTCGCAAAGCGGAAGCTAAATTTGGCGGCGAAGCGACAGCAATAGAACGGCGCGCGGCACATAAGCAGTATGAGGCGAGGCACGTATACGCGTGTGCGGCAAACATTGCACACCATGTACCATATATGCATGAACAGCGTGGGGCGCAAACTAGCTCATTCAACATCAGTGCGCGGCGCAGGCATCTAGCTAGCTGGCACAAGCATGATCATAATTGCATGCCATCACGCAATCAGCGCACATAAATCGCGGATCAAATAAATAAGCAATCAAACACAAATCAACACATCAACTAAATAAATCAACGAGCTAGCAAGAACACAATTCAAAAATGCAAAGAAGAAATAATTACTATTCTAGTCGGTTATTCGCATGGGACCAAGCGCAATGTCCAAGCTGATGAACTGTGATTGCACAAGGTAAGCCCAAGCTCCTGAGCTAACCGTTCTGGTGAGCAGTCTTCTTCGTGCTGCAAACACACACTACACAATGTGTCGTATCTCGTAACAAGTACTGTACCAAGTCACAACGAACACTAACAATACGCAATATTAAACAATAATCAAAAACACTACGCGAAAAAGCAAAGCAAGCAGCACCTAGCCAGGGAGACAAGCAGGAGTCACGGTCGCAACGAGATCTCGACGACACCCCAGAAGACCTTTCTCCGACACGATACACAACATTCTTCCCCGCAAAGGGCTTCAACCACACTGATCACAAATCAAGACGAGGTGGTGGTCGAACGGTACGACGAGATCGACGCGTAACTTGCGGTTCAACGGTCGTCGAAGGTATTTCAACATCATCGACGACGTTGACTTGATCAGCGCTCGCGGGTGTCTGCGGCTGCGGCTCAGCGTCCACAGCAGGCGGCTCAACATGCTCCTTCGCTACTTCCAACGGAACCAAGCGTTGAATGGGCCGTAGCATGGACGATTGGCCAACTTGGACTTTGGCCACCCTGCACTTGCCATCTCTTCCAGGATACAGCTCTGCGACCCTACCCAAGCGCCATGATTGCCGCTTCCGGTTGTCGTCGGCAATAAACACAACGTCGTTCACGACAATCGGAGTTGACTTCGACCGATGATACTCACTGAGACGAATGAGATACTCAGACGACCAACGCTGGTTGAGGTGCTCGTAGACGGTGTGGACATACTTGACTCGAGCGGACAACTGCCGGTGATCGAGTGGTCTGTCAGACGAGGCAATACCGGTTGCAAAGATGTCTCCCAACATCATGGCTGGAGTCAGCGGCGACTCGTCAGCTACATCCGTAGAAACCGGAGTGAGGGGTCGAGAGTTGACGACTCTCTCGATCTCCGTCAAGACAGTGAACAGCTCGTCTCGACTCAATGACGCTCGACCGAGAACGTTCTTCAAGGGAGCTTTCACACATGCCACCAGACGCTCATAGAACCCTCCATGCCACGGGGCAGATGGCGGATTGAAGAACCACGGGATTGCCACCTTGTCTGCGGCGGACTTGAACGTCGTAGCATTATCTGAACGTATACGCAGCGGCTTCCCACGACGGGCGATGAAACGACGCAATGCTGGCAGGAACACCTCTGTCGACAGGCTATCCACGAGCTCTAGGTGCACTGCGCGAGTAGTACCGCACACGAAGAGTGCGACCCACACTTTCTGAACATTTGATGAACTGCGCACGTACAACGGACCTGCATAATCAATACCTGTGAGACCGAATGGCTGGTGGTGCTTCACCCTGTCTGAGGGCAACGGCGGCATCTCCTCAGCAGCAGTCTGTGCGCGAAATCTGCGGCAAACAATGCACTTCTCCGACACGCTACGAAGAAACCGACGAGCTCCGAGAATCCAGAACTGCTGTTGTAGAAACGCAAGCACGCTCTCTACACCCTGGTGCCTTCGCTGAAGGTGAGCATCACGCAGAAACAACTCACTTAGATGACATCTGCCCAGGATGATCGGTTGCTGAACCTCGTAGGACAGATCGCTCTCCTGCAGGCGACCACGAACTCTGAGCAAACCAGCTTCATCCAGAAACGGAGACAACTTGAACAGCTTCGAACCCTTCTTCAGTGGCTCCTTGCTCCGCAACTGGGACAACTCCTTGGGGAAGCATTGCTCTTGGATGGCGCGAAACATCACAGACTCAGCAGATGGAATCAATTCTGCACGCGAAACACCCTTGTGTCGCCATGACAGCATACTTGCGACCAAACCGCGAGCTCGTTGCCACTTGGAGAACTTCTCCCACGGCCAAACAACTGGAGTGTCAACCTCCACAGCCGACACGCGTGCTTCGGTGACGGACTCATTGGTGCTCTGAAACGAGATGACTGGTGGCCACTGAGACTCATCGCTCAACCATGACGGACCATGCAGCCACATCTCCTTCTGCAAGTCGTACACTGGGACACCACGCGAGACAAGATCTGCAGGGTTGCTAACTCCTGGACAGTGACGCCATTCTACTTGCAGCTTCTGCGAAACTTCTTGCACTGCAGCAACTCGATTAGCAACATACGTCTTCCAGTGATACGACGGCTTTGAGATCCAGTGCCATGTGGTTAGGCTGTCTGTCCACCCCACAATCCTTTCAATTGGCACTCTCAATTCATTGACGACAAAGGACAACATCTTCACGCCAAGACACACAGCCGACAATTCCAGACGCGCAAGAGTGGGACGTACAACAGGTGCAACCTTCGCCTGCGCACACAACAAAGAAGACGTCAAACCGGACACAAAATAGAAACAACAGCCATAGCCCTTCTCGGATGCATCTGAGAATACATGCAACGTGACTGGAGCATCTGGAGTACACCCGATCCATCTGGGGATTTTAACGGAAGAAAGCGCTGCGAGCTCTCCCCACCATGAAGCACATCGGACAGCCAAATCAATAGGGAATGGGTCATCCCAACCACCGCCGAGCTTCCAACTCTCTTGCAACATCATCTTGCCTGGCACAACTGCGGGTGACGCCCAACCTAGCGGATCGAACACAGCGGCACCACAACGCAACAACGCACGACGAGACCCCCTCCCCATGAAGTGAAAGTATACCTCTGTGAGAGTTTGCGTTGCTGAGGCAGGGATGCTACTTATCTGAAGGCTTTCTAGTTATGTGCTTTGGGGAACTGCTTTTCTTGGTTTCTTTGAAATCGAGTAGAATGCTAGAGAACATGCTTGCCTGGTTCTTGGTAATTTTTCCCACCGAGGCATGGATCAATTCATGCTTGCGTGGCTTTGTTGTTGCGGAATTTCATTTCATTGTTGTATCTTAGCTAGAAAGCAATTCCTTGTGAGGCAATGTATGGTTTGTCAGAGCTGGTGAATTGTGCTTTGCAGACAGCACGGGGTGGTTGCCATGGTTCCAAGGAGATGAGAACTCAGAACTTTGTTCATGTGATCAACCAGGCCAGATTGTCGATCAAACATTTTTTACGGGCAAACAGAATACAATGGACCACTTGCCATTGGTACAGATCCACGAAATCCCTTAGAATCCCGTAGACCCGGAAGGGTGTTGAATGTGTGCTATGCATGCGCATTTTACCAGACTTCGCGTCATAATTCAATGACCAGCAATCGCTTTTCCAGCTTCTTCACTTTGGTTAGAACTAATGACTAGCTAGATCTTTGTCAGAAAAAGGTTTTCGTATGAAATTCCTTCAGGCCCCATTTCTTAGTGGAAATAGCTGGAAACACAATAGTGTCCTGTATATTCAACACCCTACCGGGTCTACGTGATTCTACAGAATTTCGTGGATCTGTACAAATGGCAAGTGGTCCATTCAAGGTGTCATGGTGAAGCATAAGAACACAACATCAAAAAAATGAAAACCATTCATGATTGTATGTACAAACAGTGCCAAACTTCCAGATTGTGGTTAGTTTGCAATAGCTAATTTCAACGAAGAGATTCGAAAGCAGTGATTACAAAAACCATACATTTTGCTTGCTTAGGCTCGCCGTTTTACGAGCTACTAGTGTAACCTTTCATGTACTGTTTTCTAGCTGTGACCTGCCAGGTACCACCTATCAGCAACGGGACATCTAGCCAAACAGGGATGATCAGATATCAAGCATCTGTAACCTACACCTGCAATACTGGCTACACACTGAGAGGAGTGAACACATCAAAATGTGCAGCTGACGGTACTATACTAACACCCAGTTGTATAGGTGAGCAAAACAGGTATCAATGTACTGGTCTGCTCTCGATATAACAACTCTCACTTTTACATAAACCTCGCTAATACATAAAAAATCACATCCCGTGCCGAAACAGCATCACTCCCATACAAATGGTGTTCTACACAAGTCATCCAATGTAGCTTACGACACCATCTACTGTACAATAGTGAAAAAAAACAATAGGAATGTTATAAATATTTCAATTTTCCTATTTTTTTCAGGCATTACCTGGGATTCGAACCCGCACTATCGCCCCACATGCATTTCCCCATACACTTCGCATTCACACTCATTCTTCCAAGTTGCTGCACGTTATGATCTTGCGTTTGAAAGCCCTATTTGAATATTACGGCCAGCTGTATGTGGCCAGCTGTGTTTGATGGTACGGTACGGTACGGGACAGACACGGGATAGCGCCCGGCTTGACACAAACACACAAACAAACAAACACCAAATTAAAGCTGTGTGGACCATGGCTAGCGCCAGACATTACTGAAGTAATGTAATCTGCATAGCTACGGGAATTATATTAAATTAGCGTGTCCGTTCCTGAAGGGAACTCACGACGGCCGCTAACACTCGGTGAACCCTAGCTGCAGATGATGCGCATAACGGTGGGAATGAGTAGATACGTCTCACAACCACTGGCACAAATGCCGAGAAAGACGCTATTAGACGCATCCATGTACCCCATGTGCCAGGCCACAAGTGCCTAGTAGACCGGGGGTAGCAGCACGGCTTGAAAACCGCTCCCATGCATATTTTTATTTGAATGCACAAGTACACACGGGCTGCAAGCCCAATAACATGGAAGCAAATGTGATAATGGCGTTATTTTAGAACATTTTTGGACTGCGTACCTCCGCTAGGCTCAAAAGCAGAATCTCTTTGTCGATTTGACAGGTGACAATGATCTCGTACAAGAAACCAGTGTTTTGGGCTGATGTTCACTTATTGTTATTCCCCATGTCAGTGAAGTTCTGGTGTGTTTCTATTATATACAGCTGTCAATTGTACTGTACCTAATATCACAAATGGGCAGCAAGCTGTATCGGAAATATCTTTCCAGCAAACAGCTAACTATTCATGCAGTGCTCATCATGTGTTAGTTGGAGAAACACGGCCAGCATGCCAGGCTAATCGCACCTTGACTTCAACACCCACATGCAAAGGTGAGCAACGTGTACATTGCTGAAGTTGAAATTTCTCCACCTTATGCTACAGGAACCTTGAGACTGCTACTGAAGCTCGCAACAGCCATTTTCTTGTCACAGCTGTTTCAAGTCACGTGTTGGGTCGCAAAGATTGGTATTGTGAGTAGGCCTTTCGTAAGTTGAGATATCGGACAAATAAGTGAGGTTCTGCTCCAGGTTACGGGGTTGCGAAACGAAGAATCTCCGGACCTCTCTTCGCGTTTCCGTAACGCAAAGAACATCTGCTCTGCTCTGCGTCACATAGGGACAGCACGTGGAATGTGTACTGGTAATTTCTCCTTCCATATTTTGTATTTGATCGATGGCCAGCAGGTCTCTATGGTTTTCTTTGCATGTGCCACAATGTAGAGAGCAGCATCTACAAAAGTAGAAATCTGGACTCAAAACACGCCAAGATGTGGACTCTAGCCCAGACTCCTTTAAATGAGAACCATACAGCTTGGTTAAGAGCGCCTAGGTCTAATGCTTTATGAGCCTGGAGCTTCTCTGTTTTAACCTTTCATTTACTGTTTTCTAGATGTGACTTGCCAGGTTCCAACTATCAGCAACGGGACGTCTAGCCAAGCAGGGATGATCAGGTATCAAGAATCTGTAACCTACACCTGCAATACTGGCTACACACTGAGTGGAGTGAACACATCAACATGTGCAGCTAACGGTACTATACTAACACCCAGTTGTCTAGGTGAGCAAAACGGTATCAACGTATCCTTGCCGAAATATTGTGTTCACTACTAACACCTCAAAAGTTTCAGGTTCGCACAGACGCCACAAGACAAAAGGTCACGTAATTCTTTACGGACTATAATGAATGAACAGTAGAATACATTGAGAAGAAGAGACTGGAAAAATACGAACTTCATCGGAAAGAGAACTCTAGAACACTAAAGAAAAAACAACCACAGCATCAAGGAAAAGAACAACGCCTGAGGGGTAAAGCGCTGGCCAGCCACAACGTGCGTCCAACTTTGGCATGAGCGTACAGAAGAGCGTACAGCGCTCGGAAAGCGGAAGCTAAATTTGGCGGCAAAGCGACAGCAATAGTACGGCGCGCGGCACATAAGCAGTACGAGGCGAGGCACGTATACGCGTGTGCGGCAAACATTACACACCATGTACCATATATGCATGAACAGCGCGGGGCGCATACTAACTCATTCAACATCAGTGCGCGGCGCAGGCATCTAGCTAGCTGGCGCAAGCATGATCATAATTGCATGCCATCACGCAATCAGCGCACATAAATCGCGCATCAAATAAATAAGTAATCAAACACAAATCAACACATCAACTAAATAAATCAACGAGCTAGCAAGAACACAATTCAAAAATGCAACGAAGAAATAATTACTATTCTAGTCGGTTATTCGCATGGGACCAAGCGCAATGTCCAAGCTGATGAACTGTGATTGCACAAGGTAAGCCCAAGCTCCTGAGCTAACCGTTCTGGTGAGCAGTCTTCTTCGTGCTGCAAACACACACTACACAATGTGTCGTATCTCGTAACAAGTACTGTACCAAATCACAACGAACACTAACAATACGCAATAGTAAACAATAATCAAAAACACTACGCAAAAAAGCAAAGCAAGCAGCACCTAGCCAGGGAGACAAGCAGGAGTCACGGTCAGAAGACACCCAAGAAGACCTTTCTCCGACACGATACACAACATTCTCCCCACCAAAGGGCTTCAACCACACTGATCACAAATCAAGACGAGGTGGTGGTCGAACGGTACGACGAGATCGACGCGTAACTTGCGGTTCAACGGTCGTCGAAGGTATTTCAACATCATCGACGACGTTGACTGGATCAGCGCTCGCGGGTGTCTGCGGCTGCGGCTCAGCGTCCACAGCAGGCGGCTCAACATGCTCCTTCGCTACTTCCAACGGAACCAAGCGTTGAATGGGCCGTAGCATGGACGATTGGCCAACTTGGACTTTGGCCACCCTGCACTTGCCATCTCTTCCAGGATACAGCTCTGCGACCCTACCCAAGCGCCATGATTGCCGCTTCCGGTTGTCGTCGGCAATAAACACAACGTCGTTCACGACAATCGGAGTTGACTTCGACCGATGATACTCACTGAGACGAATGAGATACTCAGACGACCAACGCTGGTTGAGGTGCTCGTAGACGGTGTGGACATACTTGACTCGAGCGGACAACTGCCGTGGATCGATTGGTCTGTCAGACGAGGCAATACCGGTTGCAAAGATGTCTCCCAACATCATGGCTGGAGTCAGCGGCGACTCGTCAGCTACATCCGTAGAAACCGGAGTGAGGGGTCGAGAGTTGACGACTCTCTCGATCTCCGTCAAGACAGTGAACAGCTCGTCTCGACTCAATGACGCTCGACCGAGAACCTTCTTCAAGGGAGCTTTCACACATGCCACCAGACGCTCATAGAACCCTCCATGCCACGGGGCAGATGGCGGATTGAAGAACCACGGGATTGCCACCTTGTCTGCGGCGGACTTGAACGTCGTAGCATTATCTGAACGTATACGCAGCCGCTTCCCACGACGGGCGATGAAACGACGCAATGCTAGCAGGAACACCTCTGTCGACAGGCTATCCACGAGCTCTAGGTGCACTGCGCGAGTAGTACCGCACACGAAGAGTGCGACCCACACTTTCTGAACATTTGATGAACTGCGCACGTACAACGGACCTGCATAATCAATACCTGTGAGACCGAATGGCTGGTGGTGCTTCACCCTGTCTGAGGGCAACGGCGGCATCTCCTCAGCAGCAGTCTGTGCGCGAAATCTGCGGCAAACAATGCACTTCTCCGACACGCTACGAAGAAACCGACGAGCTCCGAGAATCCAGAACTGCTGTTGTAGAAACGCAAGCACGCTCTCTACACCTGGTGCCTTCGCTGAAGGTGAGCATCACGCAGAAACAACTCACTTAGATGACATCTGCCCAGGATGATCGGATGCTGAACCTCGTAGGACAGATCGCTCTCCTGCAGGCGACCACGAACTCTGAGCAAACCAGCTTCATCCAGAAACGGAGACAACTTGAACAGCTTCGAACCCTTCTTCAGTGGCTCCTTGCTCCGCAACTGGGACAACTCCTTGGGGAAGCGTTGCTCTTGGATGGCGCGAACATCACAGACTCAGCAGATGGAATCAATTCTGCACGCGAAACATCCTTGTGTCGCCATGACAGCATACTTGCGACCAAACCGCGAGCTCGTTGCCACTTGGAGAACTTCTCCCACGGCCAAACAACTGGAGTGTCAACCTCCACAGCCGACACGCGTGCTTCGGTGACGGACTCATTGGTGCTCTGAAACGAGATGACTGGTGGTCACTGAGACTCATCGCTCAACCATGACGGACCATGCAGCCACATCTCCTTCTGCAAGTCACACACTTGGACACCACGCGAGGCAAGATCTGCAGGGTTGCTAACTCCTGGACAGTGACGCCATTCTACTTGCAGCTTCTGCGAAACTTCTTGCACTGCAGCAACTCAAAAAACGAAGGATAGCTCGAGCATAGCATCTCGAGCTATCCTTAGTGCGGCTTCCTGCTCATGAAGCCAATCGACCGAATCACTCCTTTTCCCTCCCGTAAGAATGAATTCGGGCGGGGACTTAGGGTCAAACCCATAGTTCAAATAGAACGGTGTATTAGCTACAGATGACTGTTGTGAACTTTATATTGCAAACTCGCAGAGTGGTAGAAGCGAATCCCAATTGTCCTGTCTCAAGTTCACAAATGCTCTTAGAGCATCTCCCACTTGCCGGTTGACTCTCTCTGTCAAACCATCCGTTTGAGGGTGGTTAGCAGTGCTGAATGCCAATTTAGTTCCTAGCTGAGAGAATACTTCTTTGAAAAAAGCTGCAGTGAATCGTGGATCGCGATCGGAAACAATGGTTGAGCTCAGCCCGTGCAGACGAAACACGTTTTGAATGTACAGTTGAGCGCTGCCCTTAGCATCAATCTTCGAGTTTGTTGGAACAAGATGTACGCATTTCGTAAGTCGGTCCACAAAGGTGTAAATTGCGTCGAAGCCACGAGAAGTAAGGGGCAATCCAACAATAAAATCCATTGAGATATCCTGCCAAGGACTATTAGGTATTGGAAGTGAAGCCCTGTTCGTGGCTGACCTCCCTTCGTTCGCTGGCAGAGATCACAGGTTTTGACAAATCTCTTGATATCGAGACCCATTCGGGGCCAGTAGAAAAAACGTGCTAGGTGGAAGTACGTTCGATCACGACCCGGGTGGCCAGCCGTTGCACACTCGTGGTGTTCTTGAATGAGCTTTAACCGGACACCGCACTGTGGTATGCACAACCGGTTATTGGGGGATGCCTTGAGGTACAAGCGATCAGTGGATTCGTCCCAATAATAGCGATCATGCAAATTATCTCGGAGAGAATGCTTCAATCTTTCTATGATGGAAGTTAGCTCTTTGTCTCTCTGGTAGGCATCTGATATTGTATTGGACACGTCATCATTCATTGCTAAAGCATACTCAATAGCATTCAAACGTGGTACTGCATTCTCCACGAGGTTACTCTCATGGAGATCTGGGCGACGCGAAAAGGGATCTGCAGGGTTCTCTCTGCCGGGTCTGTGACGGACTGTGTAGTTATAGTCAGCTAGGAATTCAACCCATCGCGCCTCTCTCTTTGTAATGCCTGGTTTTGTTTTCAGATAAACTACCGCCATGTTGTCTGTAATGACCTCAAAGTGTTGAAAGAGGTAGATGCGCCAGGTCTTTAGCGCAAACACTACGGCCAATGTTTCTCTTTCTGTAGCTGTATAATTCTGTTCCGCAGCAGACAATTTTCGGCTAGCATAAGCCACTGGATGCCAGGCATCTTCCTCTAGTTCTTGGAGAAGAACACATCCCAAGGCGTAATCGCTTGCATCTGTTACCACTCTGAATGGTCGGTTCACATCAGCCAGCCGCAAGGCATGCTTTAGCGATTCAAAGGCATGTTGCCGAGAGCTGTTCCACTCGAATCGTGCATGTTTTCCCGTTATCTCCTCTAAGTTCTTAGAGAGCGATGAGTATTGATCTATGAATCGCCTAAAATAATTCGTAAATCCAAGAAATTGCCCCACCTCTGTGACGGAAGTCGGAGCGGGCCAGACCTTTACTGCGGCAATCTTGTCTGGGTCAGGGGCGATGTGCAGTCCATCGATGCAATGTCCCAGGAACCGCACACTCTCCACGCCAAATTCACATTTTGACCGTTTGCAAAATAACTGGTTGTCCCGGAGCACGCTCAATACCGACCGGACATGCTGCATATGCTCCGACCACGTTTTGCTGAAGATGAGTATGTCATCTAGGAACACGACTATGAACTCCCTCAGATATGGTTGAAGAATCGTATTCATCATGGATTGAAATGTTGCCGGTGCATTGGTGAGACCAAATCCCATGACCCTAAATTGGTAATGCCCAAAGGGAGTGTTAATCGCAGTTTTGGGCACGTCCTCAGCTTGAATGCGAATCTGATTATACCCTGATCGGAGGTCTAGTTTCGTGAAGTACCTAGCGCCCTGTACGGTATCGAATAAATCATCCACATTGAGCAAGCACGCCTTGTTCTTAACAGTTATCTTGTTTAGCTCCCTCCAATCGCAGACCATGCGTAACGAACCATCAGCTTTCTTGACAAAAAACACCGGTGCACCAAAGGGGGACTTACTTGGTTCTACGAAACCCTTTTTCAAGAGTTCTGTGAGCTGTTTCTTCAATTCCTCCATTTCTGGCCTGGGCAGGCGATAGGCAGGTCGCGATGGGGGTGATGAGCCTTCCTCCAGGCGGATTTCGTGGTCTACAGACCTCTCTGGTGGGAGTCTAGCTGGCAGATCATCCGGGAAAAGATCGTCATAGTCACGGAACATGGCCTTGAGATCTGGGTGCTCGTTCTGAGTGGATTTGTCGGGAGGTTCCTTGCCAATGCCGTCTTCTACGCTGACACCTTCGTCTCCACTCCTAAGGGCATGCCTAGCCTGACGACCAGATATGAACATCGCCTCCACAGGAGCGGTCGGTTCGCTTTGACTGGGCGACGCACAAGGCAAACCATTCGAGTTCAACCTGACTTCATTCGTCCGGAAGTTTAAGTCTGGATTGTTACGCGTTAACCAAGGTTTCCCCAATATAGCGTCATAGCGATGAAGGGGGAACACCGTGAAGGTTTGGTTATCGCTGAAGTCGCCTACGATAACCTTCAATTCATGGGTCGTCTCCATGGGAAACGAGCTTGATGCTCCATCAGCCAGCGTGACATTCAGGTTTTCCGAGCCAATTTCGGTTGGCAGGTTAACTCTCCTGGCAAACTGTTCGGCAATGAAATCATGGGTCGAGCCCGAATCTATTAACATAAGCGCGCGACGACCGTTGATTTTGCCTTCTACACGCAGGAGCTCATGTTCCGTTTCCACATTGACGCTGGTAACCTGGGCCTCAATAGTTGGTGTAACATCTCGCTTGAAATTGGCTTCGGAGCATTCAGCATCATCGTCAACATCCTCCACAGCGAGGCTACTGAATTGGTTACGGGTAGAGACGGAGCACACACTACACGCAGGTGATGCCTTTTCTTGCTGCGTCAGTAATCGCATCGGCCTTACTGACGTCCACCGTTTGGGTGATCTCGATGCTGCGGGCAATTCTGGGCCATATGGCCTGGTCGACGACATGCGAAGCAGCCCCCTTGGGCTCGTAATGTCTCACGTTCCTTGGGGCTTAGTTTTGTTAGCTTTTTGCTACCTGATGGTGGTGCGAATCCCGGCGCGGTCGCCAGTGGTGGTCTGCGCTGAAATCGGCTGTCTGAGGCGACTGCTAGCGCTGACTGAACGGCGGCTGACAGTGTAGTGGGGTGTTCCTTCACTACCAAGGTCCGCATGTTACCGTGCAGGCCGTTGACAAATAGCAAGGCTCTGGAGAGTTCGTCAAGTTCCGGCACCTGTAAATTTAGCCGAGAAAACTCCGTTACGTACGATTCAATTGACCCACGCTGTTGGATAGAGAACATATCCAACCGCACTCTTTCCCCATCATAGTGCGGGCCATACACTCGCGCTAGGGCGCTTTTCAAAGAATGCCAATCCGAAAATTGCTCACCTGCTTCCAGGGAAGAAATTAGCCAAAGACGCGCATTCCCAGCGAGGTAGCTAGCCGCAAAGTTAACTTGGCTCTCCGGGTCACCTTGAGGTGAGCACTTCAAGGCTAACTCGACCGTAAATACCCATTCTTTGAACTCGGAAGGGTTGCCATGGAAAACATTCGGTTCTCTGGTAACGCGTTTGACGCTCGGGCTTGTCTGGGAGAGAGAACGCGATCGACACGGGGCTAGATCCGGAGGACTTGAGCTTGATGTAGCAGGTAATTGATGTCGTCCAACTGTAGCAGCCACGTTGTCCCGAGCGCGGCGGATCTCACGGAAAGCGGCGTATAGCAGAGCAGTAGCGGCCAGGAGCACAAGGCACGTCAAAGGGCAAACGATGATCTCAGCCATCCTCAAGCTACCAGTGTAACAGTATAGACTTGATTGATTGGAGAATTCGTCGAATGATGTTCAAACCAGAGGTTATAAAGCAAAAGAAAGGTGAGAACCGCAGGAGTGAGAATAGTAGGAACACAAGGTGTTACCATAAGACAAGCAAGAAGTGTCAAGGTAAAACTATTACACTGTCTGTCCACCCCACAATCCTTTCAATTGGCACTCTCAATTCATTGACGACAAAGGACAACATCTTCACGCCAAGACACACAGCCGACAATTCCAGACGCGCAAGAGTGGGACGTACAACAGGTGCAACCTTCGCCTTCGCACACAACAAAGAAGACGTCAAACCGGACACAACATAGAAACAACAGCCATAGCCCTTCTCGGATGCATCTGAGAATACATGCAACGTGACTGGAACATCTGGAGTACACCCGAGCTTTTCCAGCTTCTTCACTTTGGTTAGAACTAATGACTAGCTAGATCTTTGTCAGAAAAAGGTTTTCGTATGAAATTCCTTCAGGCCCCATTTCTTAGTGGAAATAGCTGGAAACACAATAGTGTCCTGTATATTCAACACCCTACCGGGTCTACGTGATTCTACAGAATTTCGTGCATCTGTACAAATGGCAAGTGGTCCATTCAAGGTGTCATGGTGAAGCATAAGAACACAACATCAAAAAAATGAAAACCATTCATGATTGTATGTGCAAACAGTGCCAAACTTCCAGATTGTGGTTAGTTTGCAATAGCTAATTTCAACGAAGAGATTCGAAAGCAGTGATTACAAAAACCATACATTTTGCTTGCTTAGGCTCGCCGTTTTACGAGCTACTAGTGTAACCTTTCATGTACTGTTTTCTAGCTGTGACCTGCCAGGTACCACCTATCAGCAACGGGACATCTAGCCAAACAGGGATGATCAGATATCAAGCATCTGTAACCTACACCTGCAATACTGGCTACACACTGAGTGGAGTGAACACATCAACATGTGCAGCTGACGGTACTATACTAACACCCAGTTGTCTAGGTGAGCAAAACGGGTATCAATGTACTGGTCTGCTCTCGATATAAAAACTCTCACTTTTACATAAACCTCGCTAATACTTAAAAAATCACATCCCGCGCCGAAACAGCATCACTCCCATACAAATGGTGTTCTACACAAGTCATCCAATGTAGCTTACGACACCATCTATTGTACAATAGGGAAAAAAAACAATAGGAATGTTATAAATTTTTCAATTTTCCTATTTTTTTCAGGCATTAACTGGGATTCGAACCCGCACTATCGCCCTACATGCATTTCCCCATACACTTCGCATTCACAGTCATTCTTCCAAGTTGCTTCACGTTATGATCTTGCGTTTGAAAGCCCTATTTGAATATTACGGCCAGCTGTATGTGGCCAGCTGTGTTTGATGGTACGGTACGGTACGGGACAGACACGGGATAGCGCCCGGCGTGACACAAACACACAAACAAACAAACACCAAATTAAAGCTGTGTGGACCATGGCTAGCGCCAGACATTACTGAAGTAATGTCTTCTGCATAGCTACGGGAATTAAATTAAATTAGCGTGTCCGTTCCCGAAGGGAACTCACGACGGCCGCTAACACTCGGTGAACCCTAGCTGCAGATGATGCGCATAACGGTGGGAATGAGTAGATACGTCTCACAACCACTGGCACAAATGCCGAGAAAGACGCTATTAGACGCATCCATGTACCCCATGTGCCAGGCCACAAGTTCCTAGTAGACCGGGGGTAGCAGCACGGCTTGAAAACCGCTCCCATGCAGAACTTGAGCCAGGTACCTTTCGTATCTCGATCATGGTCATTGACCAACCCACTGTGCCTGCCTGGTTGCAATATACTAGAGGTGAAAGTCAAATGTCTAGTCGAGATTTTGCAAGGTCACGTTGCATACCACAACAAAGCATTCATATTTTTATTTGAATGCACAAGTACACACGGGCTGCAAGCCCAATAACATGGAAGCAAATGTGATAATGGCGTTATTTTAGAACATTTTTGGACTGCGTACCTCCGCTAGGCTCAAAAGCAGAATCTCTTTGTTGATTTGACAGGTAACAATGATTTCGTACAGGAAACCAGTGTTTTGGGCTGAGGTTCACTTATTGTTACTCCCCATGTCAGTGAATTTCTGGTGTGTTTCTATTATATACAGCTGTCAATTGTACTGTACCTAATATCACAAATGGGCAGCAAGCTGTATCGGAAATATCTTTCCAGCAAACAGCCAACTATTCATGCAGTGCTCATCATGTGTTAGTTGGAGAAACATGGCCAGCATGCCAGGCTAATCGCACCTTGACTTCAACACCCACATGCAAAGGTGAGCAACGTGTACATTGCTGAAGTTGAAATTTCTCCACCTTATGCTACAGGAACCTTGAGACTGCTATTGAAGCTCGCAACAGCCATTTTCTCGTCACAGCTGTTTCAAGTCACGTGTTGGGTCGCAAAGATTGGTATTGTGAGTAGGCCTTTCGTAAGTTGAGATATCGGACAAATAAGTGAGGTTCTGCTCCAGGTTACGGGGTTGTGACACGAAGAATCTCCGGACCTCTCTTCGCGTTTCCGTAACGCAAAGAACATCTGCTCTGCTCTACGTCACATAGGGACAGCACGTGGAATGTGTACTGGTAATTTCTCCTTCCATATTTGGTATTTGATCGATGGCCAGCAGGTCTCTATGGTTTTCTTTGCATGTGCCACAATGTAGAGAACAGCATCTACAAAAGTAGAAATCTGGACTCAAAACACGCAAAGATGTGGACTCTAGCCCAGACTTCTTTAAATGTGAACCATACAGCTTGGTTAAGGGCGCCTAGGTCTAATGCTTTATGACCCTGGAGCCTCTCTGTTTTAACCTTTCATTTACTGTTTTCTAGATGTGACTTGCCAGGTTCCAACTATCAGCAACGGGACGTCTAGCCAAGCAGGGATGATCAGATATCAAGAATCTGTAACCTACACCTGCAATACTGGCTACACACTGAGTGGAGTGAACACATCAAAATGTGCAGCTGACGGTACTATACTAACACCCAGTTGTCTAGGTGAGCAAAACGGTATCAACGTATCCTTGCCAAAATGTTGTGTTCACTACTAACACCTCAAAAGTTTCAGGATCGCACAGACGCCACAAGACAAAAGGTCACGTAATTCTTTACGGACTATAATGAATGAACAGTAGAATACATTGAGAAGAAGAGACTGGAAAAATACGAACTACATCGGAAAGAGAACTCTAGAACACTAAAGAAAAACAAACCACAGCATCAAGGAAAAGAACAACGCATGAGAGGTAAAGCGCTGGCCAGCCACAACGTGCGTCCAACTTTGGTATGAGCGTACAGAAGAGCGTACAGCGCTCGGAAAGCGGAAGCTAAATTTGGCGGCAAAGCGACAGCAATAGTACGGCGCGCGGCACATAAGCAGTACGAGGCGAGGCACGTATACGCGTGTGCGGCAAACATTACACACCATGTACCATATATGCATGAACAGCGCGGGGCGCATACTAACTCATTTAACATCAGTGCGCGGCGCAGGCATCTAGCTAGCTGGCGCAAGCATGATCATAATTGCATGCCATCACGCAATCAGCGCACATAAGTCGCGCATCAAATAAGGAATCAAACACAAATCAACACATCAACTAAATAAATCAACGAGCTAGCAAGAACACAATTCAAAAATGCAACGAAGAAATAATTACTATTCAAGTCGGTTATTCGCATGGGACCAAGCGCAATGTCCAAGCTGATGAACTGTGATTGCACAAGGTAAGCCCAAGCTCCTGAGCTAACCGTTCTGGTGAGCAGTCTTCTTCGTGCTGCAAACGCACACTACACAATGTGTCGTATCTCGTAACAAGTACTGTACCAAATAACAACGAACACTAACAATACGCAATAGTAAACAATAATCAAAAACACTACGCAAAAAAGCAAAGCAAGCAGCACCTAGCCAGGGAGACAAGCAGGAGTCACGGTCGCAACGAGATCTCGACGACACCCCAGAAGACCTTTCTCTGACAAGATACACAACATTCTCCCCACCAAAGGGCTTCAACCACACTGATCACAAATCAAGACGAGGTGGTGGTCGAACGGTACGACGAGATCGACGCGTAACTTGCGGTTCAACGGTCGTCGAAGGTATTTCAACAACATCGACGACAATGACTGGATCAGCGCTCGCGGGTGTCTGCGGCTGCGGCTCAGCGTCCACAGCAGGCGGCTCAACATGCTCTCTCGCTACTTCCAACGGAACCAAGCGTTGAATGGGCCGTAGCATGGACGATTAGCCAACTTGGATTTTGGCCACCCTGCACTTGCCATCTCTTCCAGGATACAGCTCTGCGACCCTACCCAAGCGCCATGATTGCCGCTTCCGGTTGTCGTCGGCAATAAACACAACGTCGTTCACGACAATCGGAGTTGACTTCGACCGATGATACTCACTGAGACGAATGAGATACTCAGACGACCAACGCTGGTTGAGGTGCTCGTAGACGGTGTGGACATACTTGACTCGAGCGGACAACTGCCATGGATCGAGTGGTCTGTCAGACGAGGCAATACCGGTTGCAAAGATGTCTCCCAACATCATGGCTGGAGTCAGCGGCGACTCGTCAGCTACATCCGTAGAAACCGGAGTGAGGGGTCGAGAGTTGACGACTCTCTCGATCTCCGTCAAGACAGTGAACAGCTCGTCTCGACTCAATGACGCTCGACCGAGAACGTTCTTCAAGGGAGCTTTCACACATGCCACCAGACGCTCATAGAACCCTCCATGCCACGGGGCAGATGGCGGATTGAAGAACCACGGGATTGCCACCTTGTCTGCGGCGGACTTGAACGTCGTAGCATTATCTGAACGTATACGCAGCGGCTTCCCACGACGGGCGATGAAACGACACAATGCTAGCAGCAACACCTCTGTCGACAGGCTATCCACGAGCTCTAGGTGCACTGCGCGAGTAGTACCGCACACGAAGAGTGCGACCCACACTTTCTGAACATTTGATGAACTGCGCACGTACAACGGACCTGCATAATCAATACCTGTGAGACCGAATGGCTGGTGGTGCTTCACCCTGTCTGAGGGCAACGGCGGCATCTCCTCAGCAGCAGTCTGTGCGCGAAATCTGCGGCAAACAATGCACTTCTCCGACACGCTACGAAGAAACCGACGAGCTCCGAGAATCCAGAACTGCTGTTGTAGAAACGCAAGCACGTTCTCTACACCCTGGTGCCTTCGCTGAAGGTGAGCATCACGCAGAAACAACTCACTTAGATGACATCTGCCCAGGATGATCGGATGCTGAACCTCGTAGGGCAGATCGCTCTCCTGCAGGCGACCACGAACTCTGAGCAAACCAGCTTCATCCAGAAACGGAGATAACTTGAACAGCTTCGAACCCTTCTTCAGTGGCTCCTTGCTCCGCAACTGGGACAACTCCTTGGGGAAGCATTGCTCTTGGATGGCGCGAAACATCACAGACTCAGCAGATGGAATCAATTCTGCACGCGAAACACCCTTGTGTCGCCATGACAGCATACTTGCGACCAAACCGCGAGCTCGTTGCCACTTGGAGAACTTCTCCCACGGCCAAACAACTGGAGTGTCAACCTCCACAGCCGACACGCGTGCTTCGGTGACGGACTCATTGGTGCTCTGAAACGAGATGACTTGTGGCCACTGAGACTCATCGCTCAACCATGACGGACCATGCAGCCACATCTCCTTCTGCAAGTCACACACTGGGACACCACGCGAGACAAGATCTGCAGGGTTGCTAACTCCTGGACAGTGACGCCATTCTACTTGCAGCTTCTGCGAAACTTCTTGCACTGCAGCAACTCGATTAGCAACATACGTCTTCTAGTGATACGACGGCTTTGAGATCCAGTGCCATGTGGTTAGGCTGTCTGTCCACCCCACAATCCTTTCAATTGGCACTCTCAATTCATTGACGACAAAGGACAGCATCTTCACGCCAAGACACACAGCCGACAATTCCAGACGCGCAAGAGTGGGACGTACAACAGGTGCAACCTTCGCCTTCGCACACAACAAAGAAGACGTCAAACCGGACACAACATAGAAACAACAGCCATAGCCCTTCTCGGATGCATCTGAGAATACATGCAACGTGACTGGAGCATCTGGAGTACACCCGATCCATCTGGGGATTTTAACGGAAGAAAGCGCTGCGAGCTCTCCCCACCATGAAGCACATCGGACAGCCAAATCAATAGGGAATGGGTCATCCCAACCACCGCCGAGCTTCCAACTCTCTTGCAACATCATCTTGCCTGGCACAACTGCGGGTGACGCCCAACCTAGCGGATCGAACACAGCGGCAACACAACGCAACAACGCACGACGAGACCCCCTCCCCATGAAGTGAAAGTATACCTCTGTGAGAGTTTGCGTTGCTGAGGCAGGGATGCTACTTATCTGAAGGCTTTCTAGTTATGTGCTTTGGGGAACTGCTTTTCTTGGTTTCTTTGAAATCGAGTAGAATGCTAGAGAACATGCTTGCCTGGTTCTTGGTAATTTTTTCCCACCGAGGCATGGATCCATCCATGCTTGCGTGGCTTTGTCGTTGCGGAATTTCATTTCATTGTTGTATCTTAGCTAGAAAGCAATTCCTTGTGAGGCAATGTATGGTTTGTCAGAGCTGGTGAATTGTGCTTTGCAGACAGCACGGGGTGGTTGCCATGGTTCCAAGGAGATGAGAACTCAGAACTTTGTTCATGTGATCAGCCAGGCCAGATTGTCGATCAAACATTTTTTACGGGCAAACAGAATACAATGGACCACTTGCCATTGGTACAGATCCACGAAATCCCTTAGAATCCCGTAGACCCGGAAGGGTGTTGAATGTGTGCTATGCATGCGCATTTTATCAGACTTCGCGTCATAATTCAATGACCAGCAATCGCTTTTCCAGCTTCTTCACTTTGGTTAGAACTAATGACTAGCTAGATCTTTGTCAGAAAAAGGTTTTCGTATGAAATTCCTTCAGGCCCCATTTCTTAGTGGAAATAGCTGGAAACACAATAGTGTCCTGTATATTCAACACCCTACCGGGTCTACGTGATTCTACAGAATTTCGTGGATCTGTACAAATGGCAAGTGGTCCATTCAAGGTGTCATGGTGAAGCATAAGAACACAACATCAAAAAAATGAAAACCATTCATGATTGTATGTGCAAACAGTGCCAAACTTCCAGATTGAGGTTAGTTTGCAATAGCTAATTTCAACGAAGAGATTCGAAAGCAGTGATTACAAAAACCATACATTTTGCTTGCTTAGGCTCGCCGTTTTACGAGCTACTAGTGTAACCTTTCATGTACTGTTTTCTAGCTGTGACCTGCCAGGTACCACCTATCAGCAACGGGACATCTAGCCAAACAGGGATGATCAGATATCAAGCATCTGTAACCTACACCTGCAATACTGGGTACACACTGAGAGGAGTGAACACATCAACATGTGCAGCTGACGGTACTATACTAACACCCAGTTGTATAGGTGAGCAAAACGGGTATCAATGTACTGGTCTGCTCTCGATATAACAACTCTCACTTTTACATAAACCTCGCTAATACATAAAAAATCACATCCCGCGCCGAAACAGCATCACTCCCATACAAATGGTGTTCTACACAAGTCATCCAATGTAGCTTACGACACCATCTACTGTACAATAGGGAAAAAAACAATAGGAATGTTATAAATTTTTCAATTTTCCTATTTTTTTCAGGCGTTAACTGGGATTCGAACCCGCACTATCGCCCTACATGCATTTCCCCATACACTTCGCATTCACACTCATTCTTCCAAGTTGCTTCACGTTATGATCTTGCGTTTGAAAGCCCTATTTGAATATTACGGCCAGCTGTATGTGGCCAGCTGTGTTTGATGGTACGGTACGGTACGGGACAGACACGGGATAGCGCCCGGCGTGACACAAACACACAAACAAACACCAAATTAAAGCTGTGTGGACCATGGCTAGCGCCAGACATTACTGAAGTAATGTCTTCTGCATAGCTACGGGAATTAAATTAAATTAGCGTGTTCGTTCCTGAAGGGAACTCACGACGGCCGCTAACACTCGGTGAACCCTAGCTGCAGATGATACGCATAACGGTGGGAATGAGTAGATACGTCTCACAACCACTGGCACAAGTGCCGAGAAAGACGCTATTAGACGCATCCATGTACCCCATGTGCCACACCACAAGTTCCTAGTAGACCGGGGGTAGCAGCACGGCTTGAAAACCGCTCCCATGCAGAACTTGAGCCAGGTACCTTTCGTATCTCGATCATGGTCATTGACCAACCCACTGTGCCTGCCTGGTTGCAATATATTAGAGGTGAAAGTCAAATGTCTAGTCGAGATTTTGCAAGGTCACGTTGCATACCACAACAAAGCATTCATATTTTTATTTGAATGCACAAGTACACACGGGCTGCAAGCCCAATAACATGGAAGCAAATGTGATAATGGCGTTATTTTAGAACATTTTGGACTGCGTACCTCCGCTAGGCTCAAAAGCAGAATCTCTTTGTCGATTTGACAGGTAACAATGATTTCGTACAGGAAACCAGTGTTTTGGGCTGAGGTTCACTTATTGTTATTCCCCATGTCAGTGAATTTCTGGTGTGTTTCTATTATATACAGCTGTCAATTGTACTGTACCTAATATCACAAATGGGCAGCAAGCTGTATCGGAAATATCTTTCCAGCAAACAGCCAACTATTCATGCAGTGCTCATCATGTGTTAGTTGGAGAATCACGGCCAGCATGCCAGGCTAATCGCACCTTGACTTCAACACCCACATGCAAAGGTGAGCAACGTGTACATTGCTGAAGTTGAAATTTCTCCACCTTATGCTACAGGAACCTTGAGACTGCTACTGAAGCTCGCAACAGCCATTTTCTTGTCACAGCTGTTTCAAGTCACGTGTTGGGTCGCAAAGATTGGTATTGTGAGTAGGCCTTTCGTAAGTTGAGATATCGGACAAATAAGTGAGGTTCTGCTCCAGGTTACGGGGTTGTGACACGAAGAATCTCCGGACCTCTCTTCGCGTTTCCGTAACGCAAAACACATCTGCTCTGCTCTACGTCACATAGGGACAGCACGTGGAATGTGTACTGGTAATTTTCTCCTTCCGTATTTGGTATTTGATCGATGGCCAGCAGGTCTCTATGGTTTTCTTTGCATGTGCCACAATGTAGAGAACAGCATCTACAAAAGTAGAAATCTGGACTCAAAACACGCAAAGATGTGGACTCTAGCCCAGACTTCTTTAAATGTGAACCATACAGCTTGGTTAAGAGCGCCTAGGTATAATGCTTTATGACCCTGGAGCCTCTCTGTTTTAACCTTTCATTTACTGTTTTCTAGATGTGACTTGCCAGGTTCCAACTATCAGCAACGGGACGTCTAGCCAAGCAGGGATGATCAGATATCAAGAATCTGTAACCTACACCTGCAATACTGGCTACACACTGAGTGGAGTGAACACATCAAAATGTGCAGCTAACGGTACTATACTAACACCCAGTTGTCTAGGTGAGCAAAACGGTATCAATGTATCCTGATTAGATGATGGTGAAAGCGAAGTGTGCCAGCCTTTCAGCATGTTTCCGTGCATAATGTGTCACTTCCACTGCTACCCAACTATGTTTATTTCCCGTAGCTATGCACAGAAGTCCACAAGTCTACACAGCTTCAAATCCATTTGTTTGTTTGTGCCTGTTGTTGGCCAAATAATCGCAAGTGGGCGCTGACAAATTTGGGCAGTGCCTTAGGGTTGGTTCACATAAGCGAAATCGGCGCCTTCAGACAGCGGTAGTGAGCCAGCTCCCGATCCGTTGCGCACACCGTTCGAGTACCAACTCCACTACAGTCATAGTATTTCAGAATGTGGCCAAATGCTACAACATGTTTGCCAATTGAAGCCTTTGCTTCTTTGTTTCTTCAGCAGTTAATATTTCTGTTAATCACTCATATAAAAATCTGGTGCTAAAAAAACCGGTATAAAAACCTGGTGCTGTAAAAAAACTGTATAAAAACCTGGTGCTGTAAAAAACCTGGTGATATTAAAAACCACTTTTTAGCCCTCGTGTTTACGGGGAAAAACCCTCGGCAAAAAAACCTCGGCTTCCCCTCCGTTTTTTGCCTCGGCCTTTTATTTCCCTTAAAACTCGCGACTCACTTCATATTCTTCACGTAAGAGCCAGTTCTGTGTAGGCAAAAGTAACATGTAGTGGGCCTGAAGTTTTATTCGTAAGTTCACCCATTGTGCATTTTGTATATAGCTCATTAATATTACCTCACCTGGTTGCTACCTCTCATTTCGTACCACTTTTGTATTATTGTATTATTCTAATATTCATTAATTGCTCTGCTGTACATTATTCTTCTTCGGTCACAAAAATCCATTGATGGTAGTGAAAAAAAATTGATTTTGGTTACACCTCTTTTGAGACTTCTTTGTTGTGTATCATGACCACGGAATGAATATTATTCATTGCTATCATCAAATTATCGTCTCCACGCCGCTTTACTTCACTGTTTTCTAGCTGTGACCTGCCAGGTACCAACTATCAGCAACGGGACATCTAGCCAAACAGGGATAATCAGATATCAAGAATCGGTAAACTACACCTGCAATACCGGCTACACACTGAGTGGAGTGAACACATCAACATGTGTAGCTGACGGTACTTTACTAACACCCAGTTGTCCAGGTGAGCAAAACGGTATCAATGTATCCTGATTAGATGAGGGGATAACAAAGTGTGCCAGCCTTTCAACATTTACTGTGCATACATTGTCACAGATTCTACCAAGAGTACATAACCCCCCAGAGTGTGCAACTCCCACATACCCTGTTGTCCCGACAGAATTTCAAGTTGACGTCATTATTTATGACGCAATGCTCCTTGCAGCAGTGATTTACAACATGTGTACGGGTGTCAACGCATCACACGTTTTTCTTTGCAATAATTTGTACAGGATCGATCGGCTTCGGTCAACCACAGGTTCCGGATTCGTCTGATAATCCGTGTACAGTGCGCATTGCATCATCAAAATGACGTCAACTTGAAATTCTGTCGGGACAGCACCCATAGTGGAGTTGCACACTCTGGGGGGTTATGTACTCTTGATTCTACTACCTAATGATGCTTTACTCTAGTTGGGCTCACACAATGAGAGAAACTTGCGAGAAATTCTCACTCTGTGTAGTAAAGGTTTCTTTTTTTTGTGAAATGCCGTCAAAACCTGTCTTCGGTGTAAAGGTGAAGATAGATGACGAGTTTGGATGACTGCGACATATCAATGGCTCAAGAGCTCTCCTTGATGGCAAAGTTCTCCAGGCGGAGGAGCCATCTGGCTGTGTTAACGTTCTCTTCACGCTGTAGGCCAAGGATACAGCAAAAACATCATATCAGATAGGTCGCTCGAGATACTCTTAGATATGATAACACAGTAGCAAAAGCAACGGCAATTCTCAGACAGTTACAATCTCGTCATACATGTGCTTGTGGTACACTATTAGAATGTGCTCTGTGCAGCCTGGGCTTAAACCCTTGGGAACGTGTTCAACCTGAGCAGAGCTCAAGCTGGCTTTCATTTCGCGGAATGTCTCAGTGCTCCAAGTCAGTTTTGTGCTAGATTGTTCATGTCTGGCTGTTCAAAATCTAGTTCGATTGGTTTACTCGATCACATGTTTCCATGTTACAAACGTTAGTGAGTACGCAAGCGTCGCCCTCGTGTTTACGGGAGAAAACCCTTCGGCAAAAAACCTCGGCTTGTTTTTTGCCTCGGGATTTTATTTCTCTTAAAAACTCGGGACTCAGTTCATATTCTATACGTAAGAGCCAGTTCTGTGTAGGCAAAAGTAACATGTAGTAGGCCTGAAGTTTTATTCGTAAGTTCACCCATTGTGCATTTTGTATATAGCTCATTAATATTACCTCACCTGGTTGCTACCGCTCATTTCGTACCACTTTTGTATAATTTTATTATTCTACTAATCATGTATTGCTCTGCTGTACATTATCCTACTTCGGTCACAAAAATCCACGGATGGTAGTGAAAAGAAAATTGATTTTGGTTACACCTCTTCTGAGACTTCTTTGTTGTGTATCATGACCACGGAACGAATATTATTCATTGCTATCATCAAATTATCGTCTCCACGCCGCTTTACTTCACTGTTTTCTAGCTGTGACCTGCCAGGTACCAACTATCAGCAACGGGACATCTAGCCAAACAGGGATAATCGGATATCAAGAATCGGTAACCTACACCTGCAATACTGGCTACACACTGAGTGGAGTGAGAACATCAACATGTGCAGCTGATGGTACTTTACTGTCACCCAGTTGTCTAGGTCTAGGTGAGCAAAACGGTATCAATGTATCCTGATCAGATGACAATGATAATAAAGTGTGCCAGCCTTTAAACATTTACTGTGCATATCGTGTCACAGCTACTACTACCTAATGATGCTTTACTCTAGTTGGGCTCACACAATGAGAGAAACTTGCGAGAAATTCTCACTCTGTGTAGTAAAGGTTTCTTTTTTTTTGTGAAATGCCGTTAAAACTTGTCTTCGGTGTAAAGGTTGCGATAGATGACGAGTTTGGATGACTGCGACATATCAATGGCTCAAGAGCTCTCCTTGATGGCAAAGCTCTCCAGGTGGAGGAGCCATCTGGATGTGTTCACGTTCTCTTCACGCTGTAGGCGGCTATGCATGTTTCTGCGGTTGTGTTTCTTATTGCGTGTGCGTGTGTGTGTGTGTGTGTGTGTGTGTGTGTGTGTGTGTTTCTCTATTTGTTGGACGTGTCCTTTTCCCTCTGCAGGAGATATTAAGCTTGTGAGTCCCTACTACTGTCACCAAACCAACACCTTCCTCCGACGCACGCCTCTGCTGACGTACTTGAATTTTGCAGATGCTACGAAATTGTGCAGTATTAACCATGGACACATGGCTACTTTTGTTGCTTACAGGGCTGGTTGCGTGTCCGCTGCGCTCGAAGAGTTAATGATAGCCTGGTTGAACAAGGATGATGTCCCAGGAGTGGCCTTAGTGGCTGATACTTCACCGATACATTCAACACGGTATAAGACACAAGTACTTTATGCCATGTGTGAGACAAGTAAGCGTTTCTTACTGGTCGTATAACAGCAATGGTGATTCAGCAAATGATAAGTTCTATTATGTGCATACTACTTCCTCCGCGTCATTGAAACTGTCGCTTCGCACATCACAATGTTTGTGACTTGGCTCGTCTTAGTCAAACTATCAGAATCGCTGTTTTCTGTGTTCAAACATTGGTGCGACCCTTCCTGCGCAATTTGTCTACTTGTAACTGAAGCCTTGCTGGTCTCGGACTTTGTCGGAGTTCTCTTCCGCACCAAGCAAACTCATCGCGCTCCGCACTATTCCGCCCCAGAGCACATATATTTTTTCTGGAGTTTGTGTCGTCCCACATCGTTGCCGTTGGCCTTTATCAAGACGGCAAGCTCATGTACAAGAATCCTGGTATCTCCCCTGAATATGAAATGCTGAAGGTGATGATGGCAAGAACAAAGTGTTCTCAAATTCCTAAAATGTGCGCTACTTGTGGCGCATGTTGCTGCGAAGGTAGCAGGTCTGAAAACACCAACAAAATCAGCGAACCGCTTGCCAAGGAAAGAAGGTGCGAAACTGCTCACCCTATCCAGCTGGAGGGTCGCTACAGGGTACTTGAAAAATGCTAGCTTGCCTTCTTCGCCTGCCACCTGGAGGCATAGATCGCTTGAAAACGATCCTGAATTTGAACGCGCGTCTTGTATTGTTGAGTGCTAAACGTCACTTTCTACCTCAAACTCTGATGAAGACGTCGACCTTACCAGGCTGCAAGTGCTGTGAAGCGGGAGGCCACTACCTAAAGCTTGGTTTGTCGACGATGCTCTGCCTAAAGTTCTAGCTGACTTCTTAGCCCATCGAGTGGACAAAATAAATTAGAAAAATCGCTCTGGGAAGCGACAATTTTAATGACGCGGAGGAAGTACAACCTAACCAGTTGATTGTATGCGAAATATAAACCTGTATACGAACCAAGCCTTTTCCAAGCAGTGGTTTGTGTGCAGGTTTAGCCCATGCTACTGTACCAAATCCGTTTCAGCCAATCTGCGGCCTTGCTGATCGGGAAATAATAGCCAATAAAATCCTGCGCGGGATTGTATTGGCATATTATTAACTGGGTTCACTTTTATTGGCATGCACTGCCCCCCCCCCCCCCCCCCCTCTCGATTCGATGCAATGCATCTTGCCATTGGAGTCCTTTCGATCAGAAACCCAGCCACAAATATACTACACAGAACCATTAGAGGGCGGCAGCATGCATGCCTTCGGAACAGTAAAAGTACCGCACTTACCTGAGCTGAGTGAACTTACCTCCACAACTTACCTCCACAACTACCGTAAAGTACCGTTGATCCCCTTCACCCCCCACGCCATGTCGTTTCCCAGCTGGGTTTTCGGCAGTGGGTGGGAATTAGATCAAGGCTGTCAACAGCAGTACGATGTACAACAACGTGGAGGATCAGACTCGATGTATATGTGCTGAATTGTGCACATTTTCATCCTGCACTAGCACAAAACCAAATTCTACACAAACTCACACCGAACTCCAACCACTATTCAGCTCCTCAATGCAACACAAAGGAGACATCAAAGTGCATCAGTTCTCATTCAATGTTTCTAAACTCGAAAACAGCACAAATATCGCAATCCTATCGAAAATTGCTAATTGCAGGTGCAAGGAAAGATATCGGAGAAAATGAGCAGCAGGCAGGGATTGTCTAGGCATATCTACATATTGTTCATGAGGGGATTTCCCCTTTGTGCATCCCAACAGTGGCCAGCACTGGGTAAAACATTGACCTCTCCAAAAATAAACTGTGGGATTATAATATGGACCACGAGCTCTTAAGGCGGCCTGCGCCTTTTTCTAAACCCGTCTTCTGCGCAGGTTCTCGTGCATCCTACATTCGAGAAAGAGCATGCGGATTTGCTTAGCGAGCTTGTAGCGCACTCCAGTTTCGAAAGGTCCAGCTCACACATATGACCTGATCAGTATGGGTCAGTTTCAACTTCCCCTGTCACAAACACAGTGTAATTTTTGTGAGGTAACATGACGAGTCTGGAAAAAGGCGCGAGTCACCTTCATTTTCACGTTTCCTTCGGCACTACGGGCCAGAAAAACACCAATTCCACTTGCTCTTCTCTCCATTTTCTATTTCTATCCCCTGTTTTCAGGCTGTACGCGTCAATCTGGCGATCATATTGTGGATGTATCTAGCGATGGTAACGTCACATGTGACATTGGCTATGAATATCTGGATGCCCAGCCGGTATGCAATAGTACTACAACAGTTGAAATGTGTACTGGTAAGTGAAGGAGGGCATCTTCTCTACACTTCATCAACTGATCTTTTGGCAAGCTCTATTCAGGGGTGAAGCGACCGAGTCAATAAGTCGACTGGACTGTCGATAAGGTTTTAGTCGATAGAAGGAAAACCCATACCAACTCGCACGTATGTTGCCAAAATGCCCAGAAGTAAATGTGGCTCTATGGCTTGTTCTGCTATTTCAGGTCCTTACCTGTGAAGTACACTTGACAAATGGATCCATTTCCCTTTACCACACACAGCCGAGTTCCAGAACGGTGCAAAACTGCACATTTTGTATTGTTGTGATTGACGTTGAAACCTACAATACGCTCATGTTGTGCTTCTGTTGTCTTCATGTGTGAGGGCAATGTCAGTCGATCACCAGTCGATAGTCAGTCGATAGGATTGGATCTAGTCGATAAAGAATATGGGCCCGCGGTTTCACTCCTAGCTTTATTACGCTAAAGAAGAGGCTCGTACAACTACAGCAAAACTTTTACTATCACCCTAGTCTCTGTTCTATTGCCCTATAAAACGGTTTTCAAACCCTGGCACATTCTTGATGTTACCACTGGTCAGTGTCATGCAATGTTATCGCATGAGCTGATTGTAATGTACCGGCTGGTGTTACTCTTCATTGCAGCTTAGCTTGTAGCTCCTTCCTCCTCATTTCTTATTACACAACAAATTACTAGTACTCAATCTGCTGACAGAACTTTTTTCGTACTTTGCAGACTCATCAGCGCAGCACAGAGGAACTGAACATCAAATTATAAATTTGCATAGAAACCACCAAATCTCGTTGCAGGCACAATTTTGTCAAAAGGAATATATGCATAGACTAGAAAGAAGATAAGATTGCAGTGACTGGCTTCAGACATGTAAACGGAACATTAAGCCCAGCATGATTTCTCTCTTCCTGTGGTGTCTTTTTTTTCACGCAGCTGTCAACTGCACTGTACCAGGGATTTTGAATGGAACTGCAAATGCTAGTGTCATCCACTTTGGCCAGAAGGTCAGATACGCCTGCACATGGGGGTTGCAGGTCATAGGTGATGCAACGCCGGCATGCACACCCAGTCGCACTCTCACATCGGTACCTTTTTGTGAAAGTGAGTGCATATGATAAAGTCTGTTGTATTCCAGTATACAGCTAAGTGTCGCCAGATGTTTGAAAAATCTTGACTGAAATCTTGATGTCTTGACTTAAGGGTGTTTGTGACTTTGTTTTACCACCATCAGACCAAGAGCGACAATGTAGCAATGCCTTTGAGCCACAGCAAGCGAAATATCCATATTTTTGTGCATTTTGAGTTATCAACAGATTCTTGCAGCCACAAGATGTACGAAGCACATGAAAAAAACCGAGTAAAATCCATTCACGGATAGCAAAGTTACGGGCATTTATTACACACAATTTTCATGTGAAATCTTCATGCTGCTCAGCTTCGGAGATACTAGGTAGCCTGGGAAGGTTTGGGTGCAGTTAGAATTTTCAGTGGCATTCTCTCCCTCGCCAAAAAATTCAGCCTCATCTTTTCCCAGGCCAGGAGAGACCAACGTTTCGTTAACGGTGAAACGTTTACTGAAGCTCATGGTGAGTAGCTACGCCAACCCAAGGACTGAGGGGAAAGCGAAGGGAGCAAGACAGCTGCGCTGAAAGCAAGTTCCTTTGTCTTTTACACTCGCGCATGCTGCGTGTGCAGCGGAGGTCGCGCGGTCGATTGATCGATTTTTGATCGCCAATACATGGATGGGGGTCGATTTAGACAGGGTTTTATTCTACCGGAGCTGTAGGATACTGACTCTCCTATCCACAGTTGAATTTGCTCCAAAGAAATCACGTATCACAAACACACAATTTCAAGTTCGATCTGAACGTGACAGCCAGCTAATTCACTTGAAGTGTGATTTTCTCAAAATCACGTGCCGCGGGATAACGTCCCTTTTTTGCTTGCGCTGGATCATTTTGTGGATAGGAGTCGTGTTATGAATTGTGCATTTTTATAATGATTACGATAGATCATGATCGATCACTGTGATCACCACTACCAAATATTGTTTCCATGTTATAACAATAACCGACTAAAAGAGAGACTTTCAGGCTAGCAAAGAGAGAGAGTGCTCAATACCGAGATGCAGAACTAGTTCAAACAATAAGAGGACGGAAAAGTGTTGTAAGGAACTAAGCGTGACTTAGCGCGTTTTTTGATGATTGCTTTATAGTGCGGGAAACTCAGATTTTTCGCCCTCTTATTGTTCGCAATAACCGACTATAGTAGGGGGTTCTGGAACTTGATTTCCAGCATTCACTTTATTAGTTTTGCAGTTGCAACAGCAGCAATAACAGCAATGGAAGGGGGAGATAATGGATCTGTTCTTATGGTGACAGTTCTGAGGGACAGGCTTGACAAGATCATCTGCACTAGCTTTTTGCGGCGTGGTTGGCTATAAAACCCTGCAATCACCACGCAAAATGGTCACTGCCTACCCCAGCCATGTATCGCGTGGAATAAAATAAATAAATAATAGAATTTCATATGTTGTGCAGGAGTCAAACGGCACAAATGCGTCCCCATGCGCCTTGACTGGTGGAATTTCCAAACATAACACTGCCTAGAAAATGTTTCACAACACCAACTCCAAAGTTGCATTAACGTTATGTTACTCAAGATTGTCCAGCCTCTACATGACACAAGATTCGCATTCAATTTCCACCCGCCATTGTCATTCTTGCAGTTTACCCTGATAGAATCGATTTCCCCTCAATTTTGTTTTTCGCTTTTTTCCAAAACAAGCAAAATAGATTGAAGTTCTCGTTTATCGGACCATATTGCGCTCACACCGATGGGGAGGGCCGGCTGGGTTGAACGAACGACCTGTTCAAAGGGTAACAGGAACCTCGAAAGGTGCCATGTGACCACCGTATCGCCATATTCACACAGACGTATTGGGGCGAGAATCTTCACAGTTTATCGATTTTCACGGGTCTGGTTAACGTCACACAAGTGTAATGCCGGCGAACGAACGCAAAACTAAGATATCCAGGAACTACAAGTTACGTTATAATGTCCAATAGCTCCACCAGTTACCAAACAATCAGCTCATGTGATAACATTGCATGACACTGACCTGCGCTAATGACGAGCTACACCTAACTGGCTAACAGCTCTAGAACTTCTCAGTGGACATTATAGCGTAGCTTGTAGTCCAAATTTAACTCGGAAACTGAGCCAATGAATTATTATAATTAAAAAAATCACGAAGTTGATTGTTCCAACTAGGAACACACGCTTCTTGCCGAACTTGACATCCCCCTAGTTGGAACATTCAACTTCATGACTATTACCGCCGAAGTCGCAACTTCTAAGTTCGTAAAAAAATCACATCAAAACTATCCACGACAGTAACACGATAATAAGCAGTCAGATGAGCGATAACAGGGCGCAAAACTGACATGTTACTGAGACATTCAACGACCTGACACCTACCTCTCACACATCTCCAGTGCACAAACCAACAACCCTCAAGCTTGGAAAGTTCATCGTTATGATAGGTTCAAGGAGGGGAAGGTGAACGCAACCAATGGCTGATGATATCTCTTGTCGATATGATGGTAAGCACCGTGCAGCAGAACCAGTGTGCGGAAGCACACAGAGGCAAGCAAACATATTCAGGGACTGGATTCTTGATAATCACTAGGATCTTTGCAAATACTACTGATTTTAAGGTAGTTCGGGCCTATGTCGCGAAAAATATCGGCGGTCCAAAACCACTTTCTGTCTGATTTTTGTTCAAATTTTCAAGCATCAGGAGGGCAAGCTGTTACTCCCAAAATTTCGCTAGTGTGCAAGCCACGCCCAAACGCTCACATTTTTGTCAGGAAATAAGAGAAAAACCTACTTTTACAAACAGGAAATCGCTTTTCATTTGTTTCAATTTAGCAGGCTTGTACAGTAGGTATGGGTTATAGCGTGGGTGTTTGAAAAACGACTTTCTATTCTTATTACCGATATTTCTTACACACGATGAATATAGTGTGACGTATCATGATGCATGCCAGTAGTGTGTGCATAGCCAGGACGATCAATCATTGCACATGATAGTCGTTGATACAAGCAACCAAGAGTCCATAACCCCCATATGGACTCTTGGCTGCAACCAAGAGGGGTTATGGACTTTTGATGCAACATAGTAGTGCTTTGTATGCGGTTGCTCATACATGTACATGATTGTACTTCCAAAGTAGTCCCATACTGGGCCACAGCCTTTATTTATATGTATTTTTTATTTCTATTTTTTACTAGAGCCACGTAAACCCGTCATGTGTGAGCCATGAATAAGGGGAGTGATGGCGTGGTCTGGGATGCTCTGCCGACCTTGGGTCTCGGCTTCATCACAACCAGGCGCGCCAATAGCAGAGAGAGAGAGAGAGAGAGAGAGAGAGAGAGAGAGAGAGAGAGAGAGAGAGAGAGAGAGAGAGAGAGAGAGAGAGAGAGAGAGCCTGGCATAGGCATAGGTTCACCGTGTGGCTGAGAACCATGGCATGAGTTACATGACCACAACAGATGCACTTGTAGTTGTAACATTATGATGCAATTCTAGTCGGTTCAAAACTGTATCGGGCAGATGTTATTACTACAGGCGATACACTTTGTACTAATCTGGCATGTTTCGCTACACAAAGTCCATTCTTAGGACCGATATATTCTATTACACGATAGCATTGCTTGCAAGAATTAATATACACATGAAACCCATGTTATGATTATGAAAATAGGAGAGTTCATTCTTGTAGGCAGTATGATTATTCTTTTACACGACCACACTATAACCGATACGCACTGTACTAAACTATAATATAAGTGCAATTAGGAGTATAATCGATGCAGACATGGCCAGACAACAACGAGTTCATGGAATTTTTAAGGATTTTTATGTTATTCAAAATCGATTTTCGTGTTCCGCTCATCAGTGAATAGTATGAAACCAATATCCTCACCCATAGACCCAGAAGAAGCACAGCAAACTATTCACTTGAAATTTATGTACGGAATGGACTTGGCCCACGCAAAATGGACAGTGGAAATGGGTGTGCAGTAGCAGAGAACCCAGCAACGGTGACGCGGAGCAGCGGTCAAACGACTTGTGATGCTGGTGGAGATGATGGAGCCATGTTGGAGGCTGATAAGGAGTGCAGTGAGACTGAGCATCAAACGGATGATGAGGAAGTGACTGATGATGATGATGGTGGTGATGAGGACGATGATGATGAAGATGAGGCGGAGGAGGTCAAAGGAAAGGAGCGGGATGAGACGGAAGAGAGCGACGTGAGCAAAAAGTCAGGTGTATTTTGTCACTTGTTATCACGTCCAGATTGTCTTAGTGTGTACGATGATTCTCACTTTTCTGTTTTGTGCTGTGTAAGTTATGTTAAGCAGTTGAAGGTTCTGGAAGCTGTATGTATTCGTGTGCATAATCCTGTTCTTTGTAAACAAAAGAAGCATGTAGTCGTGCTAAAGTTGTTCTCGTAGCTGGTTATCAGATGTAAATGTTGTGTCATGTTGCACTGTATCACCTCTTGCTTTGTGGCTGCACTCAGTTATATACGTTAGCACTATGTTTGACACCTATTATGTAATGCTGTAGCACTTCCTTTGTTGCTCACACTTTTATAAAAATTATGCTGTTATAAAATGTTCTATTTTTGTACACAGTACCCTCAGTTCCGATACTATTCACTGAAGAGCGGAACACGAAAATCGATTTTGAATAACATAAAAATCCTTAAAAATTCCATGAACTCGTTGCTGTCTGGCCATGTCTGCATCGATTATACTCCTAATTGCACTAATAAAATTGCTTTCTCCACGCCGACTCTTTATAATATAAGTGCATTTCAATTCTTTCTTTGGAATTCGGGACCACTAGTATCACACATTGTTTAGGCAAATCCACTGGAATCCACTAAATTCCAGCTAAGGTTATCTGGCTGAGGCGACGTGAGAAGGCTTGGCGTGACTGGCCACTGTTTTGCTCCCGCTCTGAAGAGCTTTTTAGTAGGGGTGAAACGGTTACCCTTTAAGGTAACAAACGGGTATCTGGCTTAACGGGCGGGTTATCGGGTACTCTGTATCCGCCATACTTTTTCCAAAAACGTTGCATTTGCTTGTGATCGTAATCGCAACATGTCTTTTACAGGCATTCTGATAGGAGAGAGAATTTCGGGCAACAATTGCTACAGTAGCCTTCCGGATTTCACGCCAGGAGGATATGCGAAGTCACACAAGTACACTACACCGCGACAAGCACAGTGTGCACAATCACTGCGCTACATGCTAACAGTCGAAATTGTCGTAGCTACAATGGATACCGTGTTATGTAGTAGGATTGAACGAGAAAAAACACACTCAAAATTGTGCACTGAACTGTACAACTGTACCCTACAATCCTACACGACTATCGGGTACTCGTTTGCTAACGGATCAGCAGCTAAACAGACGGGTACCCGGGTTACCCGGATCACCCCTTTCACCCCTACTTTTTGGCCTTCACCGTTTTTGCTCAAACCCATGCATTGGCACACAGTGGCATCTGCTTCCCTTTTTACTTTTTCTTTTCTCCTTTTACTTTCCCCGTTTCTTTCCCAAAAAAACAGTCGAGACGGTTTTTTACCCACCAGTTTTTATTGGTGGGTATTACTTTCCTTCTCTGTTGCCCTTACCCACCTTACCTATGGAGGATAGTGATGCTCTTACGGATGCGGAAAGCTCGGGCCTCCAGCCCAGTCTCACGCAAATTGTGAATGTTTTCATTGAAGTGCAGAGTGTTTCATGTTTGGAGATGATCCTCGCCAGACATGTCGAAAATGTTCTAAGACCAAGATTGGAATAGTGATAATTTCTTTTCTTGTTCGGGTTCTTCTCTGTTGACCTTATTTCCAGTTCTCAACTGCAGTGTACCAACCGTACAATTTGGTATGAGTAATGTTTCACTCGTTCAATATGGCGCTACTGTTCAGTTTACATGTCAGCAAACATACTTTCTGTTGGGGAATTCATCAGCTACGTGCAAGGGTGATGGTACATTGAGCTCAGTGCCAATATGTTATAGTAAGTGCAAACTACTTTCCTTCCAAGCACAGTTAGCTAATGCGTGGGCTGTGATCAGCTAAAACCAAACTGTAGATTTCTCCTACACAAACCACTATGTATTACCAAGAGTACATGACAACCACAGTGTGCAGCTTGGGGCATTTTCTATTATGGGCGTCTGTCACTGCAGAATTCCGTGATTACATCATATTTGGCGCAGACTTCAGGCACGTGCCGGCGGGATGTGGCGTAGTGCGTACAACTGAGCTGCTTGAATCCTACTTGTACGCACTACATCACTAAAATGATGTAATCGCGGAATTCCGCCGTGACATCAACCCATCCGAGCTGCACACTCTTGTTTTCATGCCCTCTTGGTATTGCTTTGGGTTTTTTTCTTTCTATTGTTCACAGACCAAACTCGTAAAATAAATAATTATGCGGACAAAAACAAACAGCTACTGAGCAGGGGCTGCACTGGGCAGCAGTGATGGTGAGGTACCAGGGGCTCCACCGACCAAAGGTCTCGGCTTCAATGCCACAAACACGCACCAGGAAAAAGAAACAGAAATGTAAAGCAAAGCTAGATCTAGCTATCGGGAAGAAGAATGGGTAAAAGTACCAGAAGGTGTTTAGAAAAATAAATACAAGATGAAAAGAGATTGTAAAGTATCAGTGTTTGGACTGATGTACCATGTACATGTCAATTCCATCACCCAAAACTTATGAACTTTTTCAATAGATCTGATACGAAACTCGCACAAAGAAGTGGAAAGGAAATAAGTTAAAACAGAAAAAAATAATAAGGCACCCATTTTCATAGTCCAGGGGATGGCCCATGTCTGGTAAAAGAATAAACAGAAAGAAAAGAATCATAACAAGTTTTTTCATGTATTCAAAACACAGCTGAGCACTCTGAGCAAGGCCAGTACGGTGATTAGCGGGTCCGGCAAGCGACGAGCTCGAAAAATTACAGGGAATCTGTTGCCCAGTACCAGTTGCTGTCTCCCAGGTGCCGGTAGACCTTTGTCTTGAATGACTGAAAACATGTTTTGTGTAGGGGCTGCGACAGCACCCTGTCGGGAAGGGAGTTCCATGCGCCAATACAGCAGTACGAGAACGGCCACTTCACGACGGATGGAGCTGAGACAGAGAGCATGTCTGACAGTTGATAGGCGTGGCTAGTGGCATTATTGTGCTCGTTCCTGGTTCTGGGGTTGGCTGGAGCAAAAAGGCCTACGATTTCTCATGGCTTATTGCCAACTCTTGTCCGCCCGCATCAACAATGAGAGGAATGTCCGTGTTACGTCCGTCCCCACTAGAATACTTTACCTTTGTCCACCATTCTTTGTCCTCGAGTGAGCCCGTGGACAGGCTGTGACATATACTGGCCTCTTTAGCTTCCTGGGATTGCCTTAGGATGCTGACGGCTGTGGTAACGGAGCGGAGGAAAGCTTGTTTGAATGAAAGATCGTTCGGGTGTTTTCTCCAGGAACGCCAACGTTTTTCCTTTTCCCTCATGGCAGCTGTACATTCCGGTGTCCACCATTTTGGATCACTCGGCCTCGTGCTAAGTTCCTTAGATGAGACAAACCTGGCTATTGCGCCTCTGTCCATGGTGGTTACCCGCTCACAGGAGGTGTCCGGGTCATCAGATATGATTTCGTGCCATGGAGAGCTGCGAAGGAAAGCTCGGAGGGGATGTCAGTCTGCGCTCTTGTACCGCCAGACAGTTCGCTTTGCTGCATGTTCGTGGCAAGGTAATATGCCTACGAAGTCGGATAGAACGATTACTTGGTTAGACCGCCCAAGAGGGGGTGTGGCGGTTGTCAATACTGGGGAGTTGAAGGTAGACATCAGGAGGTCAAGGGTATTGTTGCCACGATTAGGAGTCTGAACATGCTGCGTAAGAAGGTGCGCAGCACAAGTGTCCTCATGTGACTTCATGCTGGAGGGGGGGGGGGGCAGTTCATAGATGATCAAGGCTGGGAGAGTAGATCGCACCCAGATTGCGACTCCACCACCGTGTGCTGTGCGGTCATGCCTGAATGGAGGGCTATAGCCCAGGAATATTGAGTCCGACACTTGGACCTTCTCTGTTGTGAACTTTGTTTCCGTTACCACTGCGACGTCAGGGTTGTGCTGTAGGAACGCGTGCTGGAAATTGTTTCTTAACCCAAACGCATTTGTGCACAAGAGGCGAAATGGAGCGACCATGGAAGAAACAGCAAGAAAGAAACGAAAAGCTTAAAAATACCAAAATGTAAACCTAGAGCTAAAGGTCTTAAAAACAAAGAAGTCCTGAACGTGTTTCTAAGATTTAAAAACGCCAAGTGTTCTGCTTGGTGCCCGCTGGACCCTTTCTCTTCTTCTTTCTTCCACGAACTTCGGTGAATTCGGTTTCAGCTGAGGTAGAGGTCGAGCTTCGCTGCCGTTTTCTGTTGGTGCCTGCTTTGCTGTTGCTCTTAGCACAGTCAGCCAGTAGGGTCATTGCTCTGTCTTCGTCACTAGCAGGATCAGAGTGGGCCAGAGACGTGGTGGGGTCAAGCTGCTGTGGGGAGGGGGTGGGGTTCCTCCATCTGACTCCTCGGCCCAGCTGCTGTCGGGGGACAGAGCTAGAGTGAAGTCGGGCTCACCTTCAGTGTATTGCACTCTTCATTGCTGACACCATCAGGTCTCTTGCTACCTACATTAGATAATATCTGTATTTTTCCTTCCACACAATTAAACTTTTGTGGCCAGTGATGCATTACTGCCACTGCATTACTGCCACTGCATTACTGCCACTGCATTACTGCCACTGCATTACTGCCACTGCATTACTGCCACTGCATTACTGCCACTGCATTACTGCCACTGCATTACTGCCTCTGCATTACAGCCACTGCATTACTGCCACTGCATTACTGCCACTGCATTACTACCACTGCATTACTGCCACTGCATTACTGCCAACTGCATTACTGCCACTGCATTACTGCAACTGCATTGCTGCCACTGCATTACTGCCACTGCATTACTGCCACTGCATTACTGCCACTGCATTACTGCCACTGCATTACTTGCAAATCACAGCACGAACAGTTCACCAGCCACACTCCACGAAAGCAAGTAGTAGTACTCCTGACAAGTCTTGTTTCATTCCATAGAGATATAACGGGGAACTCATCAGAGGAGAAGCAGTTGTTGAATGAAGGGGTTTAACTGAATAATGCTATTTTATAGAGAAGGTACCGGTGCAAGGTGTAAACACTCACCTAACTCATATATGTGACATATCAACACAAAAGGAAAAGTGCAGAAAGCAGGTGTTCTGAACCCTACCAGACACAACTAGCACAAGTGCTAAACCGATCACAATGAGAAGGAGAGGTACACAGAAATTGGTTGCGCTAGTTTACACGTCACAAAGAGTACTGAGGTGATGACAAAGATAGATGGAAAGTAGACGCCAAGTGAAAGGTGGTTTTTGCAGGATCCTTGCACACATGGTTTTTGTTCTCATGGTCTGTGTTTGTACCTGATCTCTTTTTTATTATTGAAGGCCTGACTGGCTTAAGAGTTTGCAGGCCTCCAAACATTGTAACAAGAATAACTGGCACGCCAGTCAATTACAATTCAGCACGAGCACTGTGTAGCAGTCACAATGGCACAATTCTCTCTGAAGCATCGTTCCACGATGGGTGCTCAATTGGCTTGACCTCTGCAAACAGAGTGGCATGGAGAGGATTACCTGACACGAATAACAAGGCGTTGACTACATCTGGTGGACATGTGGACCTGTCACGTCATTTTCTCGTAGTCTGCGAGATACGTAAGTCTACATTCATTCTGTTTAGAAGAGAGACTTCTTTCTTTACACGTACAAGCTTATAGAAGAGCTGATAACGTTGTTTAAAAACTCTTTACCAGCCGTGAATAGGATAATTGCATTCCGTTTGAGGCATTGGATTGTGACAGAGTTGGAGCACGTCAACTGGCGGAGCAGAAACCTCAACATCAGGAAACACCATCACCCGAATCATCGCGTCCACGCACACCAAACAAATAAAAAACTTCACTAAGTCGCAATGCAGGATCCAGGCTTCCTTTGCTTCCTGTTGTTGTTGTTTCAAATTTTTATTCTCACGATGGCCAGTGACCAATAAGAGATAATAATTATAGTGAGATTAGTATGATGCGGAAGCTTCATGGCTAGCAGTGATCAAACTAGATGTATGGGTGAGCGTTGCTCGTGCAGGGTTGATACATTTTGCTTAAACAAAGCTGGTGATTGAATATCGCGTAACGTTGATGAGAGGCCATAGAAATAATGGAGAGATTTGAGCTATAGCCTGCATTGGCACGATTAGGGGTTGTGAGCATTAGAATATGTGGCGGGCAAAATTATGGTGGATGAAGTGAGAAAACGCTAAGTGTTCAACTTTATAGCAGGAGGAGATAGTGGGCCATTTGATGCGGTGTAGAAGGTCAGAGTGGTTATTATGGGTATAGAGGGGGAGGCGGAGGCATAATCGTGCCACTTTCCGCTGGATTCCCTCTAGCTTGTTTAAGGTAGTGTGGGAAATGGGGGTTACAGCGATGCTTGCATACGAGTAAAATGGTAGGATGCGTGAAGTATAGATTCTTCCAAGAGCAGAAGTGGTCAGAGTTGATCTTAGGCGGAATGGCAAGTTGAATGACTTGAGTGATATCACTATAATGCTATCGAAGTGTTTTTTCCAGTGCAGGTCCTGTTTGAATAATATTCAAAGGTGATGATGCTGTGTTCCTGTTTCTAGTAGAGTTTGCTCGAGTTTTATTTCGGGTAGTCATGGTGGGGTCGGTTTGCACGGTAGAACGGAAGGATGACGGTTTTCGGTTTATTGACTAGCAGGTGCGAGCGCTCTAGCCATTCTGCTGCGGCATCGACGCTTCTTTGTAGCTCAGCCTCACACTCAATGTAGCTGCCTGCAATGGCAATCAGTGCGGTGTCATCCGCGAACTGGTTACACGAGGTTGTAGCATTTTCGCATGGAAACTGGACGGAGTACCGCGATCTGGGAAGAAACCGAAGAGCTTCGCTTTCTTATGCAACAATCGCCGAAGAGCTACTACAGTGAAGCTTGGTTATAACGACACCCGAGATGGAACGCCAAAAAAGTCTCAATTTGCGATCGGTGACTATACACAATATGCACACCAAAACGTGGCAAAATTAATTTTCTGCACAATGGTGCTTTTTTAAACTGAACACAACCAAGAGCAAGCCCGATCTGCTGTCTATTTCATAGCTGTGTACAAGTGTGATCATAATCATGCAAAATGAGCGAAATGGTGACGAGAGAGCTTGGAAGCTCAGGGCCCTACGCTATGCTTTTTGCCTTGATGACCTAGACAAAAAAAGCATAGGGATGTTATAAATTCTTTAAAAAAGTCCTTTTTTTAAGACATAACCTGGGATTCGAACCCGCACTATCGCGCCCTGCATACATCCCCCGGTCTTTAAAAAATTCCTTTTTTTAGATTTCAATGCACGTCGTTCCCACTGGAAACCTTCAGACCCTACCAAGAGTACATAACCCCCCAGAGTGTGCAACTCCACTATGGGTGCTGTCCCGACAGAATTTCAAGTTGACGTCATTTTGATGATGCAATGCGCACTGTACACGGATTATCAGACGAATCCGGAACCTGTGGTTGACCGAAGTCGATCGATCCTGTACAAATTATTGCAAAGAAAAACGTGTGATGCGTTGACACCCGTACACATGTTGTAAATCACTGCTGCAAGGAGCATTGCGTCATAAATAATGACGTCAACTTGAAATTCTGTCGGGACAACAGGGTATGTGGGAGTTGCACACTCTGGGGGGGGAGGGGGGGGGGGTTATGTACTCTTGACCCTACTGATACAGCCGGACGAGCCCTTCTCACACTCTTTACCACCTACGACCTCTGTGTAGTAAATACTGAACATGATACAGGGCCCACACCGACCTCGAATCCACTCCTTGACCTGACAGGAACCAATCAGCGAGACCTCCAATCCACATCTAAGATTCTCTCACCTGTTGCTGATCACTGTCTGGTCATCACGTCCATCTCTCTAAATGTACCCACATCACGTGAGCTAGTCACCAATAGTAAGGAAAGCAATTGGATCCGGGATATGCGGTGCATTAACCACTCCTTGTTCACCACACTACTTCTGAGATATCCTCCACTTGAAAGAATCCAGGGTGATGTGCATATCGACTACGTTTGGACTGTTTGGCACAACCATGTTATGGCTCTGTTCGACAAGTGCACGGTATGGCGGCTCATTGCTACCGGGCACAAGAACAAAAATCCCTAGTACAATGCCCTTCTACAGAAGCTGAAATCAAGGCAGAATAGACTATATCGACAGTTTCTGAAGCATCCCCAGGATCCGGTTTGCCATTAGCATACAAACTAGCCCGTAACTCCTACCGACTTGAGCTGCATAAAGCCAGAGAAAACCAACACCGATGACAGGCTGATGATCTTGAAGACACTCGTCGGGGCACTTAGCACTGGTGGAAAAAAGCGAAAACACTCTGCCAGATTAACAATGTACGTTACCCCAATCCCCAATCTTCATAAGAATAATGTAACGCTGAACCCCTGCGGAAAAGGTAGAAATTCTCAGTTCCCACTTCTCAGCACAGTGTACCTCATCCAGCAGACATCCACATTGTTCTCCGAATACAGAACCCTTGTCACTAGCCGAGAAGTTCAGTTTCACTCCTATCAGCGCAAGTCATGTTTGTAGGGGAAAGCTACCACTCACCCAGAACTTGTCCCTGTTCTGCGCCATCATACTGATCAGCTCTGTCCCTGTTCTGCGCCATCATACTGATCAGCTCTGTCAATCACTGGTGTACGTCTTCAACAAGAGCCTAGGTGACGGTTGTTTCCCACAGGATAGGAAACTGGCTACAGTTGCAGCACTGTACTCGAGCAAGGGAGAGCAATCGGACCCCAGCAACTACAGGCCAATTTCCCTGCTCAAAATCGTGCCTCGATTATATGAACGGATCTTGGCGGATGATCTACGTGATTTCGTCCATGAAATTCGTTATATCAGCAGCGCCCAATTCAGTTTTGTCAGAAACCGATTTACGGAGGATCAATTACTCTTGCTGACACATCGAATGGCTGAGTGCAATGACAAGAAGCTGAAGTCAGACTGTGTTTTCCGCGACTTTAAGAAACGTTTTGATCGTGTGGATCATCAAGCATTGCTAAATGCATTTGACGGAATTGCTGATAGGCCAGCAGTCGCCTGGCTCCACAGCTTCTTATATTAGCGGAAGCTGTCTGTAAGGTTGGAAGGACAGTATTCCGAAGCCAAGGTGCTCGGCCGTGGAGTTCCTCAGGGATCGCATCTTGCTCCAACCCTCCTCTTATTATTTGTTAATTCCCTGCACTCATCAATCACCTACTGCACCCCATGCTTATTTGCTCACGATGTCACCCTCCTGTATGTACATGATAACAAGAATTCCCTGAAGTGAAATCAATCTCGTGTAGAGAGCGACATCTCTGCCTGCCAGCTATGGGCCAGCAACGTCGGTGGAGAGTTCTCACCAGCCAAAACGACTCAGATCCGTAACTACTGGCTCTCCTCCAAACCTGTCACCACCATTGAAGCTGCGAAGCATCTTGGAGCGTATTTACCACCCGACCAGTCCAACACCATCCACCTTCAGACCATCCTGAAAACCTTCCAACGTCGTGTTAATCTGCTATGCTTCATGGGACGGCATCTTGCCCCCACAGCTTTTCTACTTCTATAAAGGTTTTGTCCGACCCGCCCTGGAACACGCCACCTCGGCCTGGACCTATGCCATAACCAAAGCTGAGCTGGAGCGTTTAAATATTTTACAGTAATAACAGGAAGTAATTGCTACGTAAAAAAAGTCAATGAAGATAGATGCGAAATGAAATCCCAGTTAAACGCCCTTTGTGTCGTTGCACTTTCGCAGACAGACATCAGCTCTTGTTACTCTATTTAACCTTATACATATATCTCCAGGACATCTCCAACATTTTCACCTTTCACTGTCTTCCAGTCCAAGAAGATCAAACAAACAAAAAACAAAACAAAATCCATGGTTCGCGTGAGACTCGGTTTTTCTATATAGAGGTCAAGTTTGCCGCACCCGTAAGAACGCCACCACCCTTCAAGCATCAAGGCGCAGATGCAGCTCTTAAAGCGGTGGGAGGTGAGTAAATGAGCTCACAAGCATCCCATTCACTGCATCCAAAAATCCCATTCACTGCATCCATGTTTTCCTCGTGCCAGGCCACGAGTTCCCAATTAACTGTGGGTCGCAGCATGGCTGACGTCGAATGTCTCAGTACTCTGTCAGTTTTGTGCCTAGTTATTGCACTTTCTGACTGTATATAGTATCATGTTACAGTGATGGAGAGTTACTCTAAACTCGTATCCATATGTTCTTTTCTCTTTTACATAAAATACAAAATACAAAATTAATAGTCTTGGTGAACTGTTAGTCATAACTCGTAGCATATAATTCCATTGGATCAATGACCTACTTCTATTCTTTGCTCATATTTTTAGCCTGCCTTCCTCGACAAAATGGTCAAATGGAGTCTAAACCAATGGCTGATGATATCTCTTGTCGATATGATGGTAAGTACCGTGCAGCAGAACCAGTAGTTCGGGCCTATGTCGCGAAAACCATCGGCGGTCAAAAACCACTTTCTGTCTGATTTTTGTTCAAATTTTCAAGCATCAGGAGGGCAAACTGTTACTCCCAAAATTTCGCTAGTGTGCAAGCCACGCCCAAACGCTCGCATTTTTGTCAGGAAATAAGAGAAAAACCTACTTTTACAAACAGGAAATCGCTTTTCATTTGTTTCAATTTGGCAGGCTTGTACAGTAGGTATGGGTTATAGCGTGGGTGTTTGAAAAACGACTTTCTATTCTTATTACCGATATTTCTTACACACGATGAATATAGTGTGACGTATCATGATGCATGCCAGTAGTGTGTGCATAGCCAGGAAGATCGATCATTGCACATGATAGTCGTTGATACAAGCAACCAAGAGTCCATAACCCCCACATGGATTCTTGGCTGCAACCAAGAGGGGTTATGGACTTTTGATGCAACATAGTAGTGCTTTGTTGGCGGTTGCTCATACATGTTCATGATTGTACTTCCAAAGTAGTCCCATACTGGGCCACAGCCTTTATTTATATGTATTTTTTATTTCTATTTTTTACTAGAGCCACGTAAACCCGTCATGTGTGAGCCATGAATAAGGGGAGTGATGGCGTGGTCTGGGATGCTCTGCCGACCTTGGGTCTCGGCTTCATCACAACCAGGCGCGCCAATAGCAGAGAGAGAGAGATAGAGAGAGAGAGAGAGAGAGAGAGAGAGAGAGAGAGAGAGAGAGAGATAGATAGATATATATATAGAGAGAGAGAGAGAGAGAGAGAGATAGATAGAGAGAGAGAGAGAGAGAGAGAGAGAGAGAGAGAGAGAGAGAGAGATAGAGAGAGAGAGAGAGAGCCTGGCATAGGCATAGGTTCACCGTGTGGCTGAGAACCATGGCATGAGTTACATGACCACAACAGATGCACTTGTAGTTGTAACATTATGATGCAATTCTAGTCGGTTCAAAACTGTATCGGGCAGATGTTATTACTACAGGCGATACACTTTGTACTAATCTGGCATGTTTTGCTACACAAAGTCCATTCTTAGGACTGATATATTCTATTACACGATAACATTGCTTGTAAGAATAAATATACACATGAAACCCATGTTATGATTATGAAAATATGAGAGTTCATTCTTGTAGGCAGTATAGTTATTCTTTTACACGACCACACTATAACCGATACGCACTGTACTAAACTATAATATAAGTGCATTTCAATTCTTTCTTTTGAATTCGGGACCACTAGTATCACACATTGTTTAGGCAAATCCACTGGAATCAACTAAATTCCAGCTACGTTATCTGGCTGAGGCGACGTGAGAAGGCTTGGCGTGACTGGCCACTGTTTTGCTCCCGCTTTGAATGGCTTTTTAGCCTTCACCGTTTTTGCTCAAACCCATGCATTGGCACACAGTGGCATCTGCTTCCCTTTTTTCTTTTTCTTTTCTCCTTTTACTTTCCCCGTCACTGCCTAAAAAACAGTCGAGACGGTTTTTTACCCACCAGTTTTTATTGGTGCGTATTACTTTCCTTCTCTGTTGCCCTTACCCACCTTACCTATGGAGGGTAGTGGTGCTCTTACGGATGCGGAAAGCTCGGGCCTCCAGCCCAGTCTCACGCAAATTGTGAATGTTTTCATTGAAGTGCAGAGTGTTTCATGTTTGGAGATGATCCTCGCCAGACATGTCGAAAATGTTCTAAGACCAAGATTGGAATAGTGATAATTTCTTTTCTTGTTCGGGTTCTTCTCTGTTGACCTTATTTCCAGTTCTCAACTGCAGTGTACCAATCATACGATTTGGTATGAGTAATGTTTCACTCGTTCAATATGGCGCTACTGTTCAGTTTACATGTCAGCATACATACTTTCTGTTGGGGAATTCATCAGCTACGTGCAAGGGTGATGGAACATTGAGCTCACTGCCATTATGTTATAGTAAGTGCAAACTACTTTCCTTCCAAGCACAGTTAGCTAATGCATGGGCTGTGATCAGCTAAAACCAAACTGTAGATTTCTCCTACACAAACCACTATGTATTACCCAGAGTACATGACAACCACAGTGTGCAGCTTGGGGCATTTTCTAATATGGGCGTCTGTCACTGCAGAATTCCGTGATTACATCATATTTGGCGCAGACTTCAGGCACGTGCCGGCGGGATGTGGCGTAGTGCGTACAACTGAGCTGCTTGAATCCTACTTGTACGCACTACATCACTAAAATGATGTAATCGCGGAATTCCGCCGTGACATCAACCCATCCGAGCTGCACACTCTTGTTTTCATGCACTCTTGGTATTGCTTTGGGTTTTTTTCTTTCTATTGTTCACAGACCAAACTCGTAAAATAAATAATTATGCGGACAAAAACAAACAGCTACTGAGCAGGGGCTGCACTGGGCAGCAGTGATGGTGAGGTACCAGGGGCTCCACCGACCAAAGGTCTCGGCTTCAATGCCACAAACACGCACCAGGAAAAAGAAACAGAAATGTAAAGCAAAGCTAGATCTAGCTATCGGGAAGAAGAATGGGTAAAAGTACCAGAAGGTGTTTAGAAAAATAAATACAAGATGAAAAGAGATTGTAAAGTATCAGTGTTTGGACTGATGTACCATGTACATGTCAATTCCATCACCCAAAACTTATGAACTTTTTCAATAGATCTGATACGAAACTCGCACAAAGAAGTGGAAAGAAAATAAGTTAAAACAGAAAAAAATAATAAGGCACCCATTTTCATAGTCCAGGGGATGGCCCATGTCTGGTAAAAGAAAAAAACAGAGAAAAGAAAAGAATCATAACAAGTTTTTTCATGTATTCAAAACACAGCTGAGCACTCTGAGCAAGGCCAGTACGGGGATTAGCGGGTCCGGCAAGCGACGAGCTCGAAAAATTACAGGGAATCTGTTGCCCAGCACCAGTTGCTGTCTCCCAGGTGCCGGTAGACCTTTGTCTTGAATGACTGAAAACATGTTTTGTGTAGGGGCTGCGACAGCACCCTGTCTGAAAGGGAGTTCCATGCGCCAATACAGCAGTACGAGAACGGCCACTTCACGACGGATGAAGCTGAGACAGGGAGCATGTCTGACAGTTGATAGGCGTGGCTAGTGGCATTATTGTGCTCGTTCCTGGTTCTTGGGTTGGCTGGAGCAAAAAGGCCTCCGATTTCTCATGGCTTGTTGCCAACTCTTGTCCGCCCGCATCAACAATGAGAGGAATGTCCGTGTTATGTCCGTCCCCACTAGTATACTTTACCTTGGTCCACCATTCTTTGTCCTCGAGTGAGCCCGTGGACAGGCTGTGACGGATACTGGCCTCTTTAGCTTCCTGGGATTGCCTTAGGATGCTGACGGCTGTGGTAACGGAGCGGAGGGAAGCTTGTTTGAATGAAAGATCGTTCGGGTGTTTTCTCCAGGAACGCCAACGTTTTTTCTTTTCCCTCATGGCAGCTGTACATTCCGGTGTCCACCATTTTGGATCACTCGGCCTCGTGGTAAGTTCCTTAGATGAGACAAACCTAGCTATTGCGCCTCTGTCCATGGTGGTTACCCGCTCACAGGAGGTGTCCGGGTCATCAGTTATGATGTCGTGCCATGGAGAGCTGCGAAGGAAAGCTCGGAGGGGATGTCAGTCTGCGCTCTTGTACCGCCAGACAGTTCGCTTTGCTGCATGTTCGTGGCAAGGTAATATGCCTACGAAGTCGGACAGAACGATTACATGGTTAGACCGCCCAAGAGGGGGTGTGGCGGTTGTCAATACTGGGGAGTTGAAGGTAGACATCACGAGGTCAAGGGTATTGTTGCCACGATTAGGAGTCTGAACATGCTGCGTAAGAAGGTGCGCGGCACAAGTGTCCTCAAATGCTTCGCCCACCGGTGTGGTCTTAGAGCTGTTTAGTCAAGCACGGTTGTGAACCTAAAAGTCCCAAGCAGGAATGAGACTAGCGCCGTGTTGACGGGCCAAAGGAAGGGTGTCGTCGAGATGATGGATAAGTGAGAGGTCACCGGTCGCGCAAGAACCCAGCCAGTAGACACCTCCCAGGACAATCTTGTGCCTGGCGCTGAGCTGGATGGAAAACCACAAGACTTCATGCTGGAGGGGGAGGGGGCAGTTCATAGATGATCAAGGCTGGGAGAGTAGATCGCACCCAGATTGCGACTCCACCACCGTGTGCTGTGCGGTCAAGCCTGAATGGAGGGCTATAGCCCAGGAATATCGGGTCCGACACTTGGACCTTCTCTGTTGTGAACTTTGTTTCCGTTACCACTGCGACGTCAGGGTTATGCTGTAGGATTGCGTGCTGGAAGTTGTTACTTAACCCAAACGCATTTGTGCACAAGAGGCGAAATGGAGCGACCATGGAAGAAACAGCAAGAAAGAAACGAACAGCTAAAAAATACCCAAATGTAAACCTAGAGCTAAAGGTCTTAAAAACAAAGAAGTCCTGAACGTGTTTCTAAGATTTAAAAACGCCAAGTGTTCTGCTTGGTGCCCGCTGGACCCTTTCCCTTCTTCTTCCTTCCACGGACTTCGGTGAATTCGGTTTCAGCTGAGGTAGAGGTTGAGCTTCGCTGCCGTTTGCTGTTGGTGCCTGCTTTGCTGTTGCTCTTAGCGCAGTCAGCCAGTAGGGTCATTGCTCTGTCTTCGTCACTAGCAGGATCAGAGTGTGCCAGAGACGTGGTGGGGTCAAGCTGCTGTGGGGAGGGGGTGGGGTTCCTCCATCTGACTCCTCAGCCCAGCTGCTGTCAGGGGACAGAGCTAGAGTGAAGTCGGGCTCACCTTCAGTGTATTGCACTCTTCATTGCTGACACCATCAGGTCTCTTGCTACCTACATTAGATAATATCTGTATTTTTCCTTCCACACAATTAAACTTTTGTGGCCTGTGATGCATTACTGCCACTGCATTACTGCCACTGCATTACTGCCACTGCATTACTGCCACTGCATTGCTGCCACTGCATTACTGCCTCTGCATTACTGCCACTGCATTACTGCCACTGCATTACTGCCACTGCATTACTGCCACTGCATTACTGCCACTGCATTACTGCCACTGCATTGCTGCCACTGCATTGCTGCCACTGCATTGCTGCCACTGTATTACTGCCACTGCATTACTGCCACTGCATTACTGCCACTGCATTACTGCCACTGCATTACTTGCAGATCACAGCACGAACAGTTCACCAGCCACACTCCACGAAAGCAAGTAGTAGTACTCCTGACAAGTCTTGTTTCGTTCTTTAGAGATATAACGGGGAACTCATCAGAGGAGAAGCAGTTGTTGAATGAAGGGGTTTAACTGAATAATGCTATTTTATAGAGAAGATACCGGTGCAAGGTTTAAACACTCAACTAACTCATATATGTGACATATCAACACAAAAGGAAAAGTGCAGAAAGCAGGTGTTCTGAACCCTACCAGACACAACTAGCACAAGTGCTGAACCGATCACAATGAGAAGGAGAGGTACACAGGCATAGGTTGCGCTAGTTTACACGTCACAAAGAGTACTGAGGTGATGACAAAGATAGATGGAAAGTAGACGCCAAGTGAAAGCCAACAAATCATCACGGACATCTAACGTCACATCTGAAGATTGCTAGCTGCACAAGACTACTGGTATTTGTCGTGTGCAGTTAGCAATCTTCAAATGAGACGCTAGATGTGGATTGTGCTTAGTGCCCTAACTGCAGACGCAGAGCGCACAGCGCACACCAAATTGCCGTGTCCAGCCATCAGCAAAGTGTGCCTCAACTTTAATGGAATGGCCCACTTCCAGGCAATGTGCCGCAAACCTGCCAAGAAATCGGACAAGTTGACTGAACCGAGCATCTCTGTTGGACGACGCAACAGTTTTTTATTGCTACCCAGCTTGTGACCGAGCCAGAACCCGTTGCTCTAAGTTGGCTCCCGATACTGGTAGCGACATTGATCCCATCGGCACTCAACACCTTGACCAGTTGGGCGGATTTGTCGAGAACCTGCTTGACAACATCGACAATGTTCGTAGCTCAAATGGCACCAGTCTCACCCCTGTTGGCATGATTTCGGCGACTTTCAGTTGTGGACCGAACCAGCACACGTCCACCATTCATGTCGATGATGGTTTGAATGATGCCCTCCTATTCATCCCTGCACGCTCTGGAATTCTTGCCATCCGACTGGCCAAAGCACAACGCAGCAGTCCAACAGGTAGTAACACAGGTCGCTTCCGATGCACCTGCGGACAAGGTTGTGTCCAAAGCCACCGACGAAGAGACGATGAGAGCCGGAATCCTAGCTGAATTCGCTGACGTCTTTGACTCTTTCTTGGTGGACCTATGGAAATTAGAGGGCGAGCTGATGCTAAAACTGTCACTGCTTATCATGCCCACCAGATCCCCATGCGTATTGTGACCAAGTGAAATCCCAGCTGGATGACATGGTCCGTGATGCCATCATTGAGTAGGTCACTGAACCCAGTGTGTGGTTTCACCCAGCTGTCATCGTGGACAAGAAGGGGACAAACGAGAAGAGGTTCAACGTTGATTTCAAAAAGCTCAAGGACCAAGTCGAACGCCTTGCTCACCCCGCGCCATGCCCTCGTGACGCTGTATCCAGCATTGCCAACGCAAGGTATTTCACAAAGCTAGACGCCCGCCACGGCTATTGGCAAGTGCCTCATGTCCGTTGACCAAGTTCATGACACCTTCGGGTCGGTACAGGTACCTATGCAGCCCAACAGGATTGGTCTCTGCCGAAGACGAGTTTAATCGCCGCACATGTTCCTGGTATTATTATTATTATTATTATTAAAAAATTGGTTGTGAGCAACACTGGCTCACACTCAAATAACTGCTTTTCACCAGAAAAATATTATATTTCAACGTTTCGGTCATGAAATAACCATCATCAGGAATGAAGTGGGCACACCGGTTAGGATGGGTTACTA